AAAAAGTCCTGGATGCTTAGTTAAAGGTTTCTGTCATTTATTTTGAACGACAGTCATGTTTCAGTTTGTTCCAACTAGGGTTGTTCAGAACTAGCAGTAATAGTAGGTACTCAATTCAAATCAATTCAAAAAACTTTATTTGTCCCCGGGGGGCAATTCAAAGGCACACAGAGCAGTAAATTAACAACAGTGCAAGTAAACAAAACATTTTAACCTAAATAGAAAGTATCAATTAAATACAACTTAAAGCTTAAACATAACTTAAAAATATAAAATATAAGAGTAGATATAAGTGGACAGTGATCAGACTAACAGATGTAAACAGAACTATGTGCAGTAACGAGAAATATATATATATACATACAGAACTATGTGCAGTAGTGACCAGATGTAAACAGAACTATGTGCAGTAATGAGAAATAAATGTGTGTGTGTGTGTGTGTGTATATGTATATATATATATATATATATACACACACACAGAGCTATTTGCAAGTAGGCAAATACTAAATCATAAGTTATTAAGGTGCATGGTGAATAATGGAACAACAGAACTAATATATAAAATATAACTGTAAGGTAAAAATTAGATAAATAAAGTGACCGTAGTGCAATGATAGATAAGAAACAACAGGAATAATTTAACCAGAACTGTATGAATACTGATATAGAATAAAGTGATGTAGTGCTTGAGACCAGATAAAGCAGAGGCAGTTAAGGTGCATGTCAATATAAAGGAAGTTCACAGCTGAGAGTCTGCATTGGGTGTGAGGTGTTGGTGTCTGTTGGGGGGGTTAGGAGTTGAGGAGCTGGACCGCCCTGGGAACAAAGGTTGCTGCAAAGTCCTTACAGGTAGTCCAATGATCTTAGAGCAGACTGTGACCGTGCTCTGCAGGCGCTTTCTGTTCTGGAGGGTGGTGGAGTGGAACCAGCAGGTTATAGAAAAAGTAATAATGCTCTCAATGAAGGAGTAGTAGAAGGTCAGAAGAATGTTCTTACCGACTCCAAAGGAATTGAGCTTCCTTAGGAGGTATTTTCGCTGCTGACATTTCCTAAGAATCTCCTCGGTGTTGGAGGTGAATTTCAGCAGGCTGTCGAAGATGGTACCCAGGTACTTATACTCCTCTACTAGTTGGACAGGATTCCCATGGATTGTGGTGGTTGCTGATGCAGCCAGTTCCCTCTGCTTGTTGGAGAAGGTCACCACCATGTCTTTGGTCTTGCTCACGTTCAGTTCGAGGCAGGAGCTGTCACACCACTCCACAAACTCCTGAAGAACTGGTCCATGGTGCTGAGAGGGGCCTGACAGGAGAGACAGGAGAACTGTGTCGTCCACGTACTTCACCAGGTGACAGTTTGGCTGTGTGGTTCTGCAGTCATCGGTGTAGGGGATGAAGAGCAGAGGTGAGAGCACGCAGCCCTGAGGGGAGCCAGTTGAGGTGTGTTGGAGGTTGGAGAGGGTGTTGTTGACCTGAACTCTCTGTGATCTGGTGGTCAGAAAGTCCAATATCCACAGGATAAGCTGGTCGTTCAGATGGAAGCAAGTTGAAAGTTTGTCATCCAGGATGTGAGGCTGCAGGGTGTTGAATGCAGAGGAGAAGTCTGCAAACAGGAGTCTGGCCGAGGTGTTGGGGTGCTCCAGCTGTTTTTGAACAGTGTCTATTATGAATGTTTTTGCATCATCGACACCTCTGCCTGCACGATAAGCAAATTGTAGCGGGTCCATCTGGGAGTCGGTTTCTCTGATGTGTTGTTTTATGATCCTTTCCATGGCCTTCATCACCAGAGATGTGAGGGCCACAGGCCTGAGGTCATTCAGTAATTTGGTGGGACTTTTCTTGGGGATGGGGTTAACTGTGGCGTGTTTCCACAGCTGGGGGACTGTGCTGCTGTCCATAGAGCTCTGGAACAGGGTCTGAAACACGCCCCCTAGCTGCGGCACAGTGCTTCAGGATGCGGCCACTGATGTTGTCTGGACCAGGTGAGCTGCTCTCACCACATCCTCTCTGCTGAAGGTGAGTGCAGAGTCACTGGGCTTGAGCATGGACACTGTTTCTTCCAGCTGTGTGGTGTTGTCCTTCTCGAATCTGGTGTAGAATGAGTTGAGATCGTTGGGGAGAGAAGTAGAGCTGCTGCCTGCAACCTCGATGGTTTTGATGTTGGTAGCAGCAATGTTCACAGCAGCCATGTTTATCTCTGGGGAGATGGAAAGGGCGAAGGGAGACAGCCAGAAGCTCAATGTCCGAGGTGCACAGTTTCTCCCTCACGACGATCGTCGAGCACCAGCGTGTTTACATAAAAACAAACGCCACCGCCATGTTGTTTCCCAGTGAGCTCACTGTCTTGATCAAGTCTTAAGGGGGGGAGAAGCCATCAACGTGCAGCGTGTTATCATCGTCGTTCTTATTTAACCACGTCTCAGTAAAAGCAAGAACAGAGGCAGTCCTGTACTCATGCATGTGGTTAATGTTGGCCTGTAACTCGTCCGTTTTATTGCGGAGGGAGCGTACATTAGCCAGGATGATAGATGGAAGCGGCCGTTGTTTACATGTCTCCCGTTTGAGCCTGGCTCTGATTCCTCCCTTTCTCTTTCCCCTCCTGGTTACCTTGTTATTTTTGTGAGCGGAGTTGTCTTGGCTGACTGAGTTATCCCGGAGAATTTCTTCGGGAAGCATGTCTGTGTTGATGGCATGATGAGTTTTAAATCCGAGCTGCAGCAGAATGTCTCTCGAGTAGGTGGTTCGCGACCTGCCAGGAACGTTGTTTCTGCTTGCAGTCACAAACTCCCAGAGGAGCCAAGCGTGCAGAAATGTCCAAAAAATAATTCGGGTATCCATGCCAATGGTAAATAATTCTGGGGGATGAAAAGAAAGAAGACTGCCGTGCTGTAGTCCGTTTGTCGCGGTGTTCACGGTTGTAAACAAAGAGCAGGGCTGCGAGAGGACGAGCGTGGGGAAAAAAGAAAGTTTGCTTCATCTGTGTAGTAGCGGTTAAAAGTTATAAAACACACTCTTCCTGCGTGTCCTCGGGAAAAACCATGGAAAACAATATATCTAAAGAAAAAATAAACAGTAGAAAAATGTAATAAATGCTAAATAAATGCTAAATAACTGCTCTGTGAGCCGGCCGGTCTTCTGCACGAGCAGCGACTCGGAATCGGCTAACTGACATTTATCTGTACTATACTGTACAGCCTGTAGTGTATTAAACATTGGACAAAGAATAGAAGGGAAAACAAAGTTAAATAATGAGGAACATAGAAATAAAAACATATATCTATGAAATAAATAACATCACACCTGTATTGATTTGTCTAATGTACAATTAAAATACAGGCCTTTGGGAGCGATGTTTTATCTTTGTGATTCTTCATTTTAATCTACTCTGGATCCCCATTAGGTGTTACCGCGGTAACAAATATTCTTCCTGGGGTCCATTCAGAGAAAATAATACACAAAAACAAGATCAATCAAATTAACAATATTAGCAATATTAATTTTCGATATTTATCAAGTGGCCTTTAGCGTCCCATCGATGGAGGTCGCCATGCTGGAAATGATGTCACACCCTAACTTTTAGTCATGACAGGCAAGCTGGATCGGAGGCAGGTTATGAGCTTCTGACAAACCATGAAAGCATTTAACTGGGCCCGCCTGTCTATCAGATAAGATCAGCAACATGCCTTATTGGGAAATGAAAACTGATGAGTTATCAATAAATGTACTCCCTGATGAGTGTGTGCTGATCAAGACATGAGATAACCAGACATATTTCATTTTTTGAACCAGGCTGTAAACATGCTAATTTCTGCTGTAAAAACGGGCTTCCTGACTGGGTGTGTATGTCACAAACACACCCAGTCAGGAAGCCCGAAAAGTATGAGTAGTTAAGTACTATAAAGATATCTACACTTCTGTTTGGGGTAACTATACTATATCTAGTTTCTTTATAAATTCAATAATAAAGTTTAATAATAAAGTTTATTTATATAGCGCTTTTCACAGACGAAGGTCACTAAGTGCTTTACATCAACAAAAAACAGCATACATACAATGAAAGAAGAAAAAATTAGTATGTCATGGACAACATAAAATAAAATCCTGCTAAGACCAGGAACAATAAAACTTAGATGTAGTAGGTACACTGGGTGGACCTGATTACCCATAGGCCTGTCTAAACATAAACATTTTTAATTGTAAAGACTCAACAGTCAGAAAGATGTAGCGAGACGGGTAGAGAATTCCAGAGGATTGGTGCTATGGACTGAAACGCACAATCCCCACGAGTTTTAAAATGTGTCTGCGGGACAGACAGGTGTTTGACCTTAGTGAACGGGTGGGTGAATACAGGTGAATGAGTTCTGACAGATAATCTGGGGCCTGACCGTGAATAGCTCTGAAGGTGAGAATGACAATTTTAAACTTAATCCTATATGCCACAGGGAGCCAGTGCAGTGGTTTCAGTATCGGAGTGATGTGAGACCGTTTGTTTGACCTGGTGAGTAATCGAGCTGCAGCATTCTGGATTGACTGGAGACGGTTTAGGGTGGTGAAAAGAGCATTACAATAATCGATACGAGATGAGACAAAGCGTGCAAAATCCTTTCAAGTTCTGTGAAAGACACTAATGTTCTCAGCTTACTGATATTTCTTAAGTGAAAAAAGCATGATTTGGTTAGCTATTTAACATGGCTGTCTAGTGATAATGAAGAATTGAAAATCACTCCCAGGTTACGGAGGTTGGTGCGAACAGCAGAGGAGAGGGGCCCAATGTTTTGCATGATAGTTGAAACATACTTGTCTTGGGCAATAACTAGAACTTCTGTTTTTTCTGCATTTAGTTGTAGGAAATTATCAGTTGCTCAGTCGTTGATAGCATTTATACAGTCTAGGAGCCTGGACAACGTAGAGGCTTCGCTATGGTTTAAATGAAAATTGCAGTTGTATATCATCTGCATATAGATGATATGCAATATTAAAACTTTGTATAATCTTTCCTAGGGGAAGCAGATAGAAAGAGAACAACAGAGGTCCCAGGACTGAGCCTTGTGGGACTCCACACAATAAAGGAGAGGAGTCAGACATAAACTCCCCAACAGAGACAGTGAAGGTCCTTTCACTTGGATATGAAGAGAACCAGTCCAGGGCTGTACCTGATATTCCCACCCAGTCATGTAGTGTCTTTGAGGTTAGGGTGGCTAACCATTTCAAAGGCGGAGCTGAGGTCAAGAAGAACTAACACTGAACAATCACCTCCATCAGCAGACATTAAAATATCATTGGAGACCCTTAGAAGAGCGGTTTCAGTGGAGTGCCCTTTCCGGAACCCTGACTGGAATTTGTGTTATGTTATGTTATGCTGTGTTGGAGGAACATGTTATGTTATGTTCCTCCAACACAGCAGTGAGTTGATTGGCCACAACTTTTTCCAATATTTTGGACATAAGTGCCGTCTTTGACACTGATTCTGCAAGCTAACATCAGCACTCTAACATCTTGGGAGAAAGAACATCATGCGCAGTAAACACAAACACAGGCTGATGATCATTCAGGCGTGAGCTTTCTGTCCTAGCAATACCGACATTACGGGCTAGTGCAGAAAGGAAAACTTAGTCCACAATCAAGAATAGTAATTCTAATCTCAAGAAGCACCGACCTAAACAACAACACACTTCTAATAAACTAGCTGTCAGAGAGCTGCAGACACAGGAGGCCAAGGAGGAGACATCCCATCCAAACAGACCGCCGCCAGCTCCTTCTGTATATAAGCCAGGTCCAAACAGGTTGTTTGACCACATGCTTCATACCAACTTTTCAGTGCTGCCTTCAGAGAACAAATTAAACAACAACATATTGAAAATGTGAGTTCTGATTCTTCTTAAACTGCCACCGAAACAAAAAATAATGTAACAAGTAACTTTAAAGATAGAGTCTGTATCTTTTTTCTTATAAATATATAGACTGAATCAAAAGTAATGTCCCTCGATCATCACTAATGGGCCTCCATACATGTGTGGTGGTGACTGTCTGAGACCCTGTCCTCTGGCTGGATTTTAATGTTTTGGACACTTAGGGACGTGGTGGGGAGAAAGTGTTTCCCCAAGATCATCAATCAATCAATCAATTTTTATTTGTATAGTTTCAACTCATAACAAGTGTTATCTCGAGACACTTTACAAAAAGCAGGTAAAAAGACCTTACTTATTGTTATGTTACAAAGACCCGTCCTATCTATCATGAAAGCGTACAAGTGTAATGTCAATATTGCAATATGTTGTGATTTCAAGCTCAAACAAAAACTACGGCCAACAACGGCCGTGTCTGACTTCTGTAAAGATAAGACAGATATTCACACATTGAGCCTGTTCTGAGGTCAAATACTCTTCAGTGGAACATTGCATTTACAAAAGTTTCCAACAATAGGAAGTTAGACATACAGCAGTACGAGCTGTCTTCTTAGCAGGACAATTTCATCGGCCTTTGAGCACAGCTGGGACTCCAGTGATTTCGCAAAACGTTTCTTGGGGTCAAACCATATTTTTTGCCCTTCACGTTCCTGTATTATCACAGGAAATGTTTCGCTGTAGAGTTTAAACCATCTTAAGTTTTTCTCTCGCACACCAGAGGGAAATGTAGAACCTCCAATCAGAACAGAACAACCACAGCAACATCCACTTATTACCATCTCAACCCATTCATGATAATGACAGAGTGGGAACCTTAAGGACTAATTACTGAATTACTCCACACCTCTGGAAATAGTTCTGCAGAGAATGCTCTGAAGCCTGAGAGGTTTCTGCAGGACCAACGTTTGCACGGCTGCAGATGAAGGGACTGCTGCCGGCATGTTGGACATGATGAAGCATGAGGTAAGTTCCTCTGTGTCTCCCCCCTCTCTTTGTCCCTCACCCTACATGGGAGGCCCTGTTGGTTTAGCGGCTAAGCTTCCCCCCGGAAACACAAAGGATGGACAGATAGAGAGGTTAAAACAGAGAAAGAAAGGAAGAGAAACTGAATGAAAAGAGTAGAAATTGTTCAAAATTAGTTAATGCATCCTTTATTTTTTACCCATCTCTGAATCTGTTCCACAGAGATCTGTCAGACTGTAAATGAAAATCCCGTTTGTGAGAATGTTTACATGAGTCAGCGTGTCTGCTCGTCTTAAAGGTTTTGTTTACTGCCTAGATCAGATTTGTGCCGGCACTATTAACTCACTGATTCCTTAACGAGACACCATTAAGACACTGAGACACCCCAGGATTAACAAGTTTAGCTTTTAAGGAGCATCGAGAAACGCTTGTTAAGCATTTCTCCGCTCGGCCGACTTAAAAAAAAAAAAAACAGAACTAATTCTCAGGTTTTGAGTCTAACTGTAGAAGACAGGCAGGAGTGCAGACCCATGGGGGGTCAATTTGTGACAACGAAAACAAACCTCTTTGTTCAGTTATTGAAACTTGGAGACAGCAGGAACGTCTCGTTTGGACCCAACGTTTTACAGCCGACGAGAAATGTTCAGACTTTTTGTTTCAGTTATTTTCACAACTTTGATTCAGGTGCCAAAAACAACGTACCAGAAAGGTTCAATAAAATATAAATGATGGCTTGTCAATGAAGGTCAAGACTCTGTTTTCAAGCCCTTTATTTTAACCTGAATTGGTACATTTGATTGAGTATAATGGCCACAGCAAAGGGAAAAAAAACAACTAAAAATTAAATTATTTTTTCTCTCTTTTTCAGGGCATGGTGGTGCAGTGGTTAGCGCTGTTGCCTCACAGGAAGAAGGGTTCTGGTTTGAATCCCCCTGTCGGACCGGAGCTTCCTGTGTGGAGTTTGCATGTCTACAGGCACTGACTTCCTCCCACAGTCCAAACACATGCACGTTATATTAATCTGAGCGTGAATGTTTGCCTCTGTTTGTCAGCCTGGTGATCGACTGGTGACCAGTCCAGGGTGTAGTCCTGTTTCTCGCCCAATGACAGCTGGGATTGGTTCCAGCCCAACAGTGAACCCTGAACACGACGAGCTGTATAGATGATGAATAGATGGATTTTTTCATGTATTTGACTTGTTAATCTAGCAAAATCAGATCTGACTATAAAGTGAAATAACAATCACCCCATTACAAATAAAAATCCCTACATTCAACATTTTCATCTTGAGAACGGAATGACATGTTGGGAGCTGCAGGCCTGATTCAAATCTGGGCTGCCAGCTTTGAGGACTATATCATCTGTACATGGGGCTAGACTTTAACACTAGGTCTGCGCTACTTCATGAAGTTGCTTTAATAAAAAATAAAAATAAAATACATTTTAAAAATAAATAAATAAAGCACTGTAAAAACATCTTCTAAAATTCCATTGTTTTCCAATATAATAAAACATTTTAGCACTGTTAAATGAATTGTACTGCTTTGCTATGACTTTGATTTTAAAAGCACACATTTGATGTGTCCTGTTGCGTGTCTGTGCACATGTTCACCTTCAGGTTCCAGGTCAGTTTCTTGGAGCATCCACTGTGAGGCGCTACTGAGTCCAACTGGTGACAAAAGAAAGCGTCAGACTTTGACAATCTGTTTGATTAAACTTTATCATGATGGATTAAATCTGAGCTGACAGCATGACTTGTTGTTCTGCAGAGGAGTGTGTCACAACTGACCTGATGAAATACCTCATGAGTGTGAGTGAATGTGTGAGTGTAATTCAGTCAAACAACCGGGAAATATCTCAAACAGGGCTGTCAAACAACTTTTTAAAACATTTAACAACTTCAGAGGTCTATCGTGATCATCACATTTTAACTGACTGTTTAAAAGTATTTTATTTTGCATTTCTAAACATTTTTAGATGCTTTTATTTTGCATTTTCTTTGTACTGTCTGAGCTTACATCTTTTACTTAATGACAGGATGAACATTAAGTAAAATGCTGTTTTTACTTTTATTTTGATAAGACACAGAACTTCCTGTAGATCAAATTTATGAAATTAAATTGACAAAAAACAGGAACTTGCTACAGTAAGGTAAATGAGACAGCTGGGGAAAAAGTGAAGAGTTTCATAAGGTTTTTATTTATTTATATATATATATATATATATATGTATATGTGTTGACTCGTCAACTAAGCCATCTGGAAAAACTTTTTTAAGTGAGCTGAGACATTTTCAAAAGTTCATTGGTAACATTATTTTACATCACTGTGGCTGCAAGAAGAAAGGGACAAAAACACACACGTTAACATGAAATAATGTGTTGATGTCAGCCCCAGCTGTCAACATTAACAAGAGACAATGAGATAACAGAGAGAGAAATAGATCGAGAGGGGGTAAAGGAAAAGAGAGTTAAACAGCAATGTAATAAATAGGTGAAGATATTGGAGATAAGCTCTTTAGATATAAAGTCTAATTTTGATTCACTCTCCCATCAAACTAAAATCACATACTCTGGGAAAACAAGAGAACATGTCACAGCCTGAGAGACAGCCATCAGCAGATATGACATCATTCAGATATGACGTCATCATTCAGTCTCCTCACCTCATCACTCACTCACTGCTTTTTTATATCAGGTCAGTCTCCAGATTTTGTGTACATATTGTAAGTTATTGTGTTGATCGTATATGATGCCAACATACATACTACAACAACAACAACACACACACACCACACACTATTAAACAGTGAACAGATTTTCATAAACACAAGAGTAAGAAACCTTACCACCTTTCCTTTTCTATGTTTGTTTTGTGTTATATTTTTAGATGTTTTTATATTGATGTAAACTAATATAACATTATTGATTATGATTATGATATATCTGGCAATATTGTGTAATATTCATGCCAATAAAACTTTTTAAATGTTTAGAAATGTTTGTAAAGAGGGAGAGGGGTGAGAAAAAAAGAGAGAGAGAGACGCATGAAGAGATACAAGTAGAGCGAGGGAGAGAGAGAGAGAGACAGTACATAAGACAGAAAGAGGGAGAGAGAGGGAAGAAACGTTAGAGAAAAAGGGAGAGACAGAGGGAGACATAAAGAGAGAGAGAGAGGTGGAGAGAGGAGCTAGAGAAAGAGAGAGAGAGAGAGAAGAGAAGAGAGAGAGGCAGAGGGAGGGAGGGAGAGGGAGGGGATTGTTGGGATTTTCGGGGGGGACACAGAGAAAGAAAAGGGGGCAGTGGCACTCAGTCACAGAGTGCTATACACACTCACATGCGCACACACACTGACACACTCTATGTTTCCTCTCCAAACGTGTCAGTTCATTATTTCTGTGTGTGTGTGAGTGTGTGTGTGTGTGTGTGCTGAGAGAGAGAGAGAGAGCTTCAAAACCATCCTGCATCTCTATGATCCACGGTAAGATCATTTCATCACTCTGACCTTCATCTTTATTTGACTTTTTTACTCTCATACATGTGTGTGTGTGTGTGTGTGTGTTTCTGTGTGTGTGTGTTCATTAACGTGTGTGTGTGTTGCTCTGTGCGCCCGTCCTGTTTAGCTGTGACTCTGGTCCACAGCCAGTTTGAGGCCTCCATGGAGCGCTGTCACTGTTTGCTTTCTTTTACGTCCATTTTGACCCACAGGTGGTCAGACTAATGAGGCAAGCAGCCGAGAGGAGAATCAGGAGGTGGATTTATTTTAACTAAAAAGTTCATTTTAAATCCAAATAACTGATGAATTCAAAGGTTTTAAAGAAATCACTCCTCTACAGCTGCCTCTGTGTGAAATTCTGTATTGTTAGATACAATGTCAGATCTTTCGGCTGTGTGAGAATGTTTTCAAACTTCAGAAGAACTAAATCCCTTTTTTATTGAAAGCAGACAATGTAGTTAAGCCTTGAATTTTTTAACTATAAGAGTCATTTCCAGATATATGAACCTCTGAAAATAAGATTTGTACAGTGGTACCATTTTATTTGCAACACCTTAAAGCACAAAACAAGTTGAAGTGAGGATATCAGTCATAGTAATTTAGCAGGAAATAACTTTTTTTCAATTCAATTTGACATGTTTTATCTCTCACATTTTAAAATGGTTTAAGATGGTTTATATTTTCTTCATATATTGCCAACAATTCTAATTTTTACTTTAAAAAGTAACTTGCTACAAGTCTGCTTAATTTCTTACATGTAAAGGTTTGGATAAGGAGAGGACGAGAACTTTAATGTCATCGCATACAAATATACAAGAAACTTTGTTTGTACAGCAGTGATATGAAATCTGGAGTAAAATAATAATGTAGCTGAATGTTTATTAGCAAATAAGGTTGTGTTCTCTCTGAATAAATACATAAAACACTCGTAAAAAATCAAGAGTTATTATGAAAGAACATCTATTTCAATAAATAAAGTTTGTGATCTTTGACGACAACCAGAAAGAAAAATAATATATTTTCACCCTCATGGATGTAAATATGTATTTATATTATCAGAGTGTGTGTCTCTGGATTAAAGTCTGAACGTGTTCATAAGTGGATTATCTCTCTGCAGATCTTTCTGTCAAAAATGATTAAGCCCTCCGACTGGTGTACGTAGAAGTTCAGACGGCAGAACTTTCTAGAAATATTACAACATTTTGTTTTATCCATTGTGTGCGCGTGTGTGTGCATGTGTGTGTGTGTGTGTGTGTGTGTGTGTGTGTGTGTGTAGGAGATTGCAATCACTTCTACACACAGATGAACAAAAAGTCAGCAGGCAGAAGAAGACGAGGCTTAAATATATTTAGTTTATTAAACACTTTGTTTCAGATTAAAAACAAATCTTCCCTCAGGCAGAAAGAGGAATGACATTTTCTTCATGGTGAGGCATAAATTCTGAAAAAGTTCATAGAAAAAAGTGTATCGTGTGTCATTAAATGTAACAAACTTCTGCATGTGCTTGTCGAGGTTCATGTGCATGTGAGTGTGCACGTGTTCAGTAATGCTCATGTTGTGAGGGAGGATTGGCTGCACATGAGAGTCTTTATATCTCACTGCACATTCAATCTGTTTATATCAATCAGACAGATTGTTCTACTTAATGGAATGTATAATTGTTATTTTAAGAGTTTCATGTTATCAACTCTTCATTTAGGGAGGCATTCTGTTGAATATTAGAAAAAACTAAAAGCAACAAAGACAAGGACTAAAAGTAGCCTACATGTTGTGCCAGAGGGGATTTTTTTTTTACAACCTGGTAGCTACAAAGTATTATTACTGACTTAAAAATGATTTCCACTTATTTAACAAATCACAGTGAGTTTAAAAGAAATATAAAGCCCTGTGTGTCTCCAGAGCATTGGTGCTCAACCTGGGGTTTGGGCCGCCCTACAGGGGGCGCCAAAGCTGACTAAGGGGAGCGTAGGGCTCTGTCTTCTCTCTCTGGTTGTCAAAAACAAAGACATGCAGAATGGATAGTTTATTTTACGATCTTAAGGTAGAACTTATTTCCTCATATCAGGTTACTAGGGCCATGTTTTGTTGGATTTTGTCCGTTTGTTTACGTGACGACAGCGTTTTCAATGCCTTAAAACACTGAGTTCAAACTTATGCAGCACCGTCTCCTTCGACGTGTAAACTGGAAATATGCAGTTCCTCTGAAAATAGAGCCTTTATGCACTCATTAAAGTTTTATGTCATGTATGTCATTTATGTCACTAAATGTTTTTTTCAGAGTTAGTCAGTGTGTTTCGTCATTCCTATCCTGTCTAGATACATGTAGAAAGTATGATCTTATGTTAAATAGTTTAAAAGGTATCTAATAACCAAGTGGCCCCAGTAGATGCTAACATTTGCAATGGTCCCAACAGAAATTGATTCCACTAAGCGAGGAAGACTTTCTCTGAGTGAAGATCTACCCGCAGACTCTGTGTGTTGATTGTTTGAAAAACTGGATCTAGTTTTCTCAAATTTTCCACATTTCTGTTTCATTTGAGGAATTTGTTTATGTGACAAAAAAGACAAATCTCATACCTTTATTTACCTTTATTCTGTCCTTTGTATCTTTCCTTCAGGACTAAAGACACAGAGACAAGGACACACGGACATTGACTTTCTCAGAGAGGAAACTCACCCATCAGTCTCCTACTCGTCTTCACGCCTGTTGCTGTCTATGAGCCGCTCTGAGGCCGTGCAGCGGACTTCACAATCATCCTGACACAAGGATAAAAACCCTGTTAAAGCCCCCACAGAAGCAGCAGACAGCATGTCCTCTCCGCCCCTCCCCATGCCCTCCCTCCCCCCGAGCCCCCTGGCCATGGAGTACCTGAACGACTTTGACCTCCTGAAGTTCGAGGTGAAGTCCGACACGCCTCCTCTTCCTCCTCAGTGTGCGTTTCCAAAGTCAGGCCTCCCTCATGACCCCTCCAGCTCCCCGTACACCAGCCACCCTCCACAGGACTCCAGTCTGAGCTCCAGCCCGTACAACTCACTGCCCCCCTCGCCCACGCTCAGCGACACCCACCCGCCTCCTTCGGGCTCCTCTTCCCTCTCCTCCTCGTCGTCCTCCATCTCCTTCCCCCTCTCCCTCACGAACAGCTTCACCTCGGGCATCAGCTCCGGCTCTCAGGGGAACGTGGAGGGCAGCCCGGCCCACGGCGGGCCTCAGGGTCCCACCCCGGCCTCCCTGGAGGACCTGATCTGGCTGGCAGCGCTTCAGCAGCAGTTTGGAGGGGAGGTGACAGGGCCTGCCACCCTTCTGGGAGCTCTGGGAGGAGTGCCCGAGAGAGGGGACCGAGAGAGGGGGCCCGTCAATGGATTTCTGGGCTGTGAGGATGCTGTTGAGGCACTGCTGAACTCAGCTGCTGCAGCTGTCAGCTCACAGGTGAATATCACTGACTGTAGGGGTTAGGGTGGGCAAGACAATTTTACACTTTTGATATCATGATAGTAAACATCAAATGATATCAATACCTATAGGCAACCAATTCTGGGTAAGAACATGTTTAAATGATCCAACTTGGCAGTGTTTCGACACCAACCATGATGACATCCAAGAGTATGTCAACTTACTTTCTGAAGCCAAAAGTCACCAATATTTTTGCAAGAGGGCAGCTCTTGAGAGCAGCGAGGAGTTAGCATAATGCTAAGTTATCAGTGTTAAACAGTCTGAGCTTATTCATTAGCTGGCTAAGAAGGTAGTTCACAATCTTTATTGTTCTTCTAAAAGGAAGTCATTCCTTGCCACTGTAACTTTTGCTAAATATTTCTTAGTGCTGTGCTCATGATGGATTAATGTTGGGTCTTAATATAACAAAGAGTAAGGTCTTTTACCTTTTGTAAGGTGTCTTGAGATAACATTTGTTATGAATTGCCACTATACAAACAAATTGATTAAGTGATTGAGATTTTAAGATGGAGTTTCATATTTCCACTATTAAAGCTAAAATAGCTTTAGGAAAGTGGCTTGAAGAGGCCACGCCCCTAATTCTACATCACCTTAAGCCTTAATATAAGGTCAGTCGTTTAAAAAATCAGCCTGTACAGTTGTCAGGAAGAGAGACATTAGCTATAGGGACCAAACTGTCTTTGTACCAGGCTGTAAACATTTTAATTTCTACTGTGAAGATTTACTTTTTAACATGGGCTCTATGGGGACTGACTCACTTTTGGATGCAACCTCTAGTGGAAGATCAAGGAACTGCAGTTTTTAAATCTTTATCATGGCTTAATTTCTCTGCCCTGGAGGTTGCTGCTTTTACTCACCTGTCATTTCTATCTGCAACATTGTCTTTTATCCCTCCTCCTCTTCCTCCTCTTCCTCTTCCTCTTCCTCTTCCTCTTCCTCTTCCTCCTCCTCCAGTTTCCGGGTCTTTCTCAGAGCTCCAGCAGTAACCTGGGAGACTCCAGCAGTGACAGCGGAGGTGACATCTCCTGCACCAAAGGGACAGACATGTGTCACCGCCCACTTGTCTTCCTCTCATCAGCCCCTCCATTGCTCCCTAACGCCGTCCCTGGCTCCGCCCCCTATCCACAGGGGGCCCTCAGCCCCACAGGCCGCCTTCATCACCACCAGCATCACCATCATCAGCACCACCCGCACCACCCCATGCATGGCAGCCATCACCATCACCATCACTCAGTTTCTCAGGTAATGAACTCTTGGTTTTATTATGATGTCATGGTCAGTTTATACTTTATTGTCTTGATTAAATGAATAAATGACAACAATATGAAAATCAGTTTTCATTGTTTAAAAAGAGTTTGCCTGGTTAGTTATGGGTATTACAGTCTCTATAATTCACCATATTCAAACAGCGTCTGTTTTCCTCTGAGGTTAAATGTCGGGGAGGGAAGCTAAAAGCTGTCGTGATGTTGTGCTGCTTTATTCCAGGTTTCAACATGTTGACACTTCATTAACATTTTACTTGTTTGCAATTTGAAGAGCAACTTATAAGTCAAAGGATAGTAACATTTTTGTGACATTGGATCATATTTCAAAGTAAAATCTTTACGCAAAAACCTATTACCTCATTACCTCATTACCTTAGACAACAGCTAATGTTAGCAATTGCTAAGAATAGGAATATAAAAATAATATATTGATTCCTTTTTGCATTCAAAATGGAGAAAAGCTTTGAGCTGCATGCGCACATATATATGCCATTTAAAACACAAGGTAAGACATTTACAGATGGTGGCAGATTTTTAAAAATCAAACAAAACATACACATAAAAATCAGATGAATAGAATTAAAGGAAGGCTTCACGTTTTTGAATTGTGAAAATTGGACATGAAGGTGTTCAGTAGTAAAATAAGGTGCTATGTGCAGTATGAGGTAGGCTAACATAACTGTTTGCTAATGTTACATTATATGATAAGAAAGGCAACGATTCATTGATAATGACCATGTTCCCTAGCAGACGGTAATCTCTATTCCCAGATTCTGCATAAAATCCAGAATCTATCAGCTCAGGAGTTTGGTATCGAAGTTTTTCAAGAGGACTCACTATTGTGTCAGCGTGCCTCGGCTAAACACAGGAAAACAGTGTGGAGAGCAAAAGAAGTGGGACGCACTCCAAAAGCCATTTACATTAATATGTAAATTTAGATTCAATTCATTATATATACAAGACATAATTATCCTTTCTTAGAAGACATTTCTCAACACCAACTTTAATCCAGCTTCTCAAGTTGTTAGACAGACTGAAACCACTGGAGACACACTACATCCTAACTGCTTGAGCTACATCAGAAGCCTTTGGTGTGAGTGGAATGATATTGTTATCTTAGATTTGAATAAGAAATGTTTCCCGTTCTCGGCTAGGTGTCCGTATGAATGATCAAATATTTCTTTGTACCTAAAAATATTACCCAATCTTCAGTGTTTATTATCTTTTTAGTTTCTGATTTAGAAAGATCGAAATGATCCTCATTTGTCAGATTCCCCGAAGTATAAGGTATTTAAACCTGAATAAGCAGAACAACATCACTCGCAACACTTCAACCAACTCATAATCCTTCCTCCTTACTCTGTCTCGAAAAAATTAACAAAAAAGATAAACAAATCATCGACACATCGACATCCTTTCAAGATCAGGAAGTTCTCCTGTCCGTACTTTCTGGAGGTTAAAGGAATACGTTTAGAGGTGAAAGAGTCGATGTGACACTTGTGGCATTAGAGGGCTGAGCGGGAGGAGAGAGGGATTGAGCAGTGAAGGATTAGGATTAGGACATTAGAACATGGTTATTAATGTCTGTGCCGATATGAAGTATCACTTTAAGGGTCTCTGTCTACATGATGACAATAAAAGAAGCTAAATATCTGATTTATAATAAAAGGAATCTGCATTTATCTGCAACACTTTGGGCAACACTTTGGGCCCCACATTGAAGCATTTAGATGAACCGTTTATAGTGGTTTAAAGCAGTAAGTAAACCTTGAACAGGTCATAAATATCATGCTATAATAAGGCTATTTTCAGTGCTCAAATATGTGCATAATGTGTCTGCACTAAACATGTTTTTATTTTTTTATTGCTGTATTTGTATTTTTTTTTCGAATGGGAGCCCATCGGAGAAGAAGTTAAATGCATTTCAAATACACTTTCTTACACTTCAGTACAAACATTTAGATATGTTTTACAAACCATGTTTCTTGTGATGATACAACAGAAAACTCAAAGTACTTACAAAAAACTGCAACCAGAATTAGATATTGCAGAACAGACTTTTTATAACAATCTTCTGACATTTCCATGAGCCAGTTATTTATCTTCAATGTGAATAATTATCTAAAACATTGAGTTTAAATGACCAAGAGTGATCAGAAGAATTACAATTACTCCTCATGAAAGTTTAATTGCCCATTTAATTTGTTGTATGTTTGATCAGGATGTCTGAGGATCTCCATGTGGAGCACGCTGTGAGCTTATGATAATATCTGCTATTATTGCTGTGTAATCCTGATAACTGTCAGCCACACTCAGTCAGATTACACCACAGATTATAGACATGTGGAGATGAAATGTGCCCCTTGACAGACACACACACTGTATGTTCACACTCATGTAACATATGTTTAAATCAAACCCTTCACACTTATTTCCAGCTTGTTTCTCAACATTATTTCCCCTGTGTGTATGTGTGTGTTTGTGTGTTTTCTCCATCTGTTCATCAGTGCGGTGTGAACGAGCGTTTCTCAGACGAGCAACTGGTGAGTCTGTCGGTCCGCGAGCTGAACCGACACCTGCGGGGTGTGAGCAAGGACGAGGTGGTGCGTCTGAAGCAGAAACGACGCACGCTAAAGAACCGCGGCTACGCCCAGTCCTGCCGCTACAAACGCCTGCAGCATCGCCACGCTCTGGAGTCCGAGAAACACGTGCTCACACAACAGGTACACACGCTTCAAATGTAGTCCTGAATCATGGAAAATGTGCCCTGAAAGGAAAAACATCCTGAATCAGACACTCTTCAACTCCTTATAGATCCTTTCTGACATTTTATCAAAGCGTGAGTAGAAAGGGTTAGGGTCATGAGGGTCATGAGGGCCCATAGAGGACCCCTGAACAGGATCCTGAATGTTTCTGCTACGCCCCTGCTAGCAACACACTTTTATGAAACAGCATCCTCTATGCAAAACTTGCAAAGGCCAAAGTTCTTCACAAACATAAAGCAGAAAAATGAATCAATGTTCACAACAATATTCACACGCTGCAAAGTTTAAAACTTGTACAAATAATAGAGAAGAAATAAAAGACAATGACTTCAGAATGTACTCAAAAACGTTTAAATGTTAATAAAATATATACTAGAATAACATTAGAAAGAATAAGAAGAAAAAATGATTAACAGTAATTGTTCATAAATAAAGAAAAGTGAATAAAGATCAGATTCATTAATCTGCAATCAGTAAGATGAGAAGTTATGAAGGGTAATTTTTTTGTAGTTTATATAGTCATGAAGAATAAGGGATTCGTAAGTGCTTTATAAGAAGTGACAACGTATTGATTAAAACGTGAAGCAAAGTATTTCAAAAAGTCAATATAAGATGTAGAGTAAGATAAAAGTACATTTTAGATGTACCTAATTTCTCGCTTTTCTTGTCTTTGTCATGCTGAAGCACTTTAATTTTCCATCTGGGATTCAATCAAGTATTTTCTTCTCTTTTCCTAAACTTTGTACTGTAGCTCCAGGAAGCAAATGTGAACATTCTGGTCTCTTTTTTCTCCCCTCCTCAGTTGGAGCAGCTCCAGTGTGAGCTGACTCGAGTGCTGAGGGAGAGAGACGCCTACAAAGCTCGCTACGAGAAGCTCCTCAACACCAACCACAGCATCGGCAGCGATGCACCACCGACCCGCAACAGCAACCCACCTTCCCCGCCCCCTGACTACTTCCTCTGAGTGTAACCCAGAGGGAGGAGACGAGGAAACAAGACCAGCCAACACGGAGCAATCGATGATGAGTAATCAAGAGGACTTGTACGTGTTCAGCTTGTTTGTGTGTGAGGGAGGAGGTGAAAAAGAGACATCGGCAGGCTGTTTAAGGAGGAGGCGCTACAACTGTGAAATCTACCCCTGATTGATTAAAGGGGGAAATGACTGTTAATGCAGAGAGTTAGACTCGGCTCTAGGCTGCTACAAGGATTCAGTTTGATTTTTACTGTGAATGATTGTTGCACAAAAAGTGGCTGACAGCGTTTTATTTGGTACATCAGTGCAAAAACTGGATCACGGATACTCTGGAAATGGGTGAAAAAGCTTTATTTAAAGGGATATTTTTGATGTTTTAAAATCTAGGCTGTATTTTTATAATTACATATTTGGGGGGTTGAATGCTTGAAGAGTGTTGGAACTGCTCCAACAGATTGCTTAAGCTGGCAGCATGAAAAACAGGCGGTAATGGCTGCAATGTATTTCAAGTATGTTTGCTTAAAGTTGTTGTTATAGTCACTGACAGGCTGAGGTTGTTCTTCTACTTGTCTGGCAACATTAGAGAATGGATTCTACAGAGAAAGACATTTTTGTTGAAGAGGAAGATGATCATTTTAACCAGAAACAGATGTTGAATTGCTAACTCTTAAGCGACCAAACTTCATTGACAAAAACATTATTTTAACCTGCAGAAAAACTGGAGTGACTAGTTAACCACTGTTTCATTTTGCTAATTTATTGGTGTTACTGTGTGACTTTTTATTATTAAACGTATCACCCAAGGTAGAAGTAGTTAGGGGGGGCCACCTTCCATTCATGAAATTAAGAATGGCCTGCGATCCTCAGGGCCACAACCACCATGGGCCTAAAAGGAAGGGGCTCAAGTGGTAGTAAGAACAAACGAAAAACGTTCAAGAAAGCATTCAGATAACATTTGAAATCCATCAGTATTTCAAAAAAGATAGAAGGTTGAGCATATAGCACTTCATAGTTGTTTTTCTTCAGATGGGGGGAACATGCACTCTGAAGCCCGCTGCCACACTGCTTCTCCTCACAAGCCGAGAGGAGCTCTCAGTCTGAAAGACAGGAAAATAAAATTCATCATGTCCCGTCATAAAGGGGCTTAAAAAGCTGTTACTGTAACGGTCATGCTTGTGGTTGTAAAGAACTGCGGAACCTCAGTTTGGCTCTTCTTGGTCCCTGCAGTAATGTGTGTGTTGTTTACGTCTACCAGGCCACAGTGAGCCACAGAAAACACTCGACGTCACACCTTACAGTTGGCTTTGTACTCATTTAGGTTTAGGTTTGTATTTCTGTAAAGGCTTTCGCTTCACTGGTGGAGGAGTGTCTGCAAAAGGCATGCCCTACTCTGCCTCTGATTGGCTCTTTGACCAAGCCTGACCAATCCAACCAATGAAGGCTATGAGTATTAACCAATGAGAGGGCAGAGTAGGGCGTGCGGGATGAAAATACCAAAACAAATCTCATCCCGTATTGATTCAAAAACAAGACGGAGCATTTTCATTGTAAAATAAATGAGGATTTCATAACAGTACCTTACCCTAACCCTCTACTCCAAGTCGTCCACAAAATAAACTTACTGTCTTTTGACTTTTTGTGAATTTGAAGAGAGCAAAGTCACAGCTGTTTCTGGGTTAGAAAAATCTTCTTTCTCTGAAATCTATGTCAGGATCTTTTTTCTGTAATGTTGTGAGACAGTTAGTAGAATAATAATCTGAGCCTGGCAGTGACAAAACAACAGCTTGAAGTGGACACAACCGCTTCAAAAGATTGTGTAGCTGCAGGCTGAAGCTAGTTTTTTGAAACAATACCAAATCTTTTTTGTAGTTTTGAGTCATTTGGACCCTAACATATTTTAAAAACAGGGCCTGGGATAAAGAGACTGTGGTAACCCTTCAAAGCATATCAATAGTCACTGATCACATCATCTATGCAATATCTCGTACTCTACGTTGGAGTGGCTCAAACTGTAGTTGTGTTTTTTTTATAATAAGCTGCTGAAGCTGCAGAGGTCTGAGTAGTGCTGTGGTGCTGGATGTGGAGTGGTATGGGCTTGGATAAAGTATCCACGGCATGCGGGTGTATTTGCCAGCTGATATTTTTCACAGTTGCCTACCAAAGTGTTGAAGCTCACCAGGACTTGTGATTCTTTGTAACATGAATAATCATCTAGATGACAGAATGTACAAGGATACCTTTTTAATGAGGATCTTCCAGTGATTGTGCTAAATGAATAGTGAGAATAATGCTCTTTTTTTTAGCAAAGATATCTAACTTTTTGCTAGTCAGAAAAGCTGATTTTCACCGGAGAGACTTTTGCAGTTTGCTCTCCACAGGATGAGTTTTTTTACATACAAACAGAGGCGTGTGCGCCTGCAGATAAACCCACCACAGCAGGCGTAAAGAGTGTGGCATGATTTGTGTGGCTGTGTCCAGACTAGAGGAGCTATTTTAAGGCAGAATTAAACACCTCTGTAATAGGGACCATCACCAAATTTCTGCAACATGCAACAACACAGAGCTTGACTGGACTCTGTGGGAACTATGGAACAAAAAAACTTAAAAGCGCAGGGATTAAAAAAATGCATTAAAATTCTCTTTTTCATGGAGACACCTTCATGAGATCATTGCCAGGGTTCATGCATTAATTAGAGCTATTTATTTTGTTTTTGGGTGTAGGTTAAAATAAATTGTTCTTTTTATTTATTCACTTATTTATTCAGTATTTATTGTTTATTTATGTACTGATTTATTTGGTTTTATTCCACTAGCGTGTATTTTTACCTTCCTACAGTTTCTTTATTTTATCCAATTGTGAATAGAGTTCAAATAAAATGACAGCCATTATCCCGGCTTCCTGCTCCTGTTGTAGTGTGGTTTCATATGCAATCTGAAATAAACAGAATTTTACCTTCCCCGTGTGCTGCTGTATTGTGTTATTGTGCAAGCGTGCTCACAGGTTTTAACCTCTTCCATTCACCTGATCTGAGCATCTCCCACGTTTTCTCTGCAGCTCGCCCCGGCTCCATGCCTCTCTCTCTCTCTCTGTCTCTTTATCTTTGTGCCTCTATAGTGAGGCAGTGACCCTGGGTGTGCTCTGTTTGGGATGACCTCATCTTCGGCTCTACCTCCCTCTCTGTGTCTCTCGCTCTCTCTCTGGCCGGTATAATGGGAGCAGGATTAGGGCTATAATAGCGCCCTGGCTGCTCACTGCCGGAGTCTATTGTGGCTTTGTGTGGGAGGGACAGACCAGCGCTCAGGGACACACTCACTTTTTGACAGAAAACATGTCTAAATACACTCCTTGGATCTGGCTCTAGAATAACTTGATTTCAGAAATGAGGCATGTGAGTCTTCAAACAAACACAAGGGAAGAAGAGGGGTTTCAAATGGTTAGAAAGACAGGTAGTAGGAAAGGTGTCATGCTTCTTTTTTATAAAAGGAAAACCCCATCATGACACATTTTCATGATGTATTCTCCATGGAAAAAGAAAACACAAAAAGTCACACTCAAGTGAATGGCCATTAAAGACAAGACTTGTGTTGTGCTGCCCCCTAGTGGCCACTCTTGATATCGCCTCCATCTTTCAGGGGGTCAGGGGGAGAGATTCGTGACACTGAGCATTTTAAAGCTTTTCTGCAGCTCAGCTCCACGCGCTGCATGCACCTGCAGGAAACTCTGACAGCGCGTGAGTCCCAGAAGAGGGGGTGGTGGGGGGGTTTGGAGAAGGAGGGCAGGTGTTTTCATCACTCCTCTCCTCTGGCAGGAAGTCCAAATTTTAACTTGACAAGTCAGAGAGAGAGAGAGCGAGAGAGAGGGAGAGAGAGAGAGGTGATGAGTGACGGTGCTGCCGACTGCAGAGCTGGACCTGGGCCCTAACCTGATGGAGAGAGAGAGAGAGAGAGAGAGAGAGAGAGGGAGAGTGTGTGTGTGTGTGATAGAGAGAGAGAGAGGGAGAGTGTGTGTGTGTGATAGAGAGAGAGAGAGAGAAAGAGAGAGAGAGAGTGAGAGAGTGTGTGTGTGTGAGAGAGAGAGAGAGCGAGAGAGAGAGAGCGTGTGTGTGAGAGAGAGAGAGAGAGAGAGAGAGAGAGAGAGCAGAGTGCGCGCGAGAGAGTGACGGTGCCTATACTTTGTAGTTGCAGAGCCCCGCGTGAGACAGGTGAGATGATGCTGCTCGGGTTTTCAAAGTGAGTGGGAATGAGGGTGAGGGGAGGTGGGGGGTCGGTGTTCTGTGTTCTGTGACATTTGGAGTCCTAATCCCCGGTCGGTCTCTCAGTTTGCAGATGCCGACAGATGTGCCGACAGAAGACGACAGAAGGCTCCACGCGGAGGAGGACGAGAGCAAGGTAAGGCAGCGCGAGCCTCCAATTATTGTAATCACGTTCTCATTTAAATCAGCTAATCAGATTTGGGGTAAAAAGGTTGGTTGTGGTGATGTTTGATACTCTGATGGAGCTGCCTGTGTGTGTGTGTGTGTGTGTGTGTGTGTGTGTGTGTGTGTGTGTGTGTGTGCGTGCGTGCGTGCGCGTGCGTGTGTGTGTGTGCGCGTGTGTGTGGGTGTGTTTGTTTAGGTGGGTGGAGGTGCTGAGAGGGGGTGTCCTGCTTTACAACCACTTTCCTTTTTTTACTCTCTAAATCTAAAGCTTTGCTTTCTAGGGAAATATGTAAGCTTTTTAAAGCATCACTTAAAAGTGTAGGCTTTTGATTAAATGATGTGCAACATTAAAAGGATCAGAAGTCAATGCATGATAATTCCACAATTTGTAAAGCCGGTAAGATTTATGTTCTTTCTCTTCTTTGTTTGTTTTGTATTTGGTCCACACAGGTGGAGTTGATGAATAGGTTTAAACACAGATGTTAAACCAGGAGACAAGTTTGAAATTCAGAGAAAAATCCAAATAAATGTTTCTCTGTGTGGCTAAATCTGGACTTTCAACATTCATATAAACATGTCAGTCTGAATGAAATGGAACTAAATCAAATGACTACTAAGACAAACTAACACACCTATAATGTGATACACCTCAATCAGACCCACACTGGGCTATAGGCATCCTGAGCATGCTCCACAGTCCCCATGCTTTTGCTGCAATGTGCTCCTCAGATGGTCCCAGTTTCTGAGTTGGGAAGTTCTGCTTTCAATTCAGAAATTCAGGGACATTATAACAATAACAACGGATAATAACGTGGCTGTCACAAGGAAGATATGGTAATAAAATAGAACAAATCATATTTGAGCATAACGCTTATGTGCAAAACATGAATAGATGAAAAGTGTCTTTCTATTAACAAAAACATTTTTTTGGCAGCCATGATGATGACGAATATGAAGTCAAGGCGGGCACCAAATTCTTTCCCAATTTTCCAAGTTGTTGTTCCAACTTGAGCAGACGTTCACATGCATTTTAAAACTTTGAAACTCATTTTTCTGAACTCAGAAGTCAAACAGCATGAACATGTAACACAGCAGAAGTCGTGTTGTCTTATGTCTTCTGATATAACCTGGAAGGATAGCGTGCATTATAACCATGAGCGCTGAAAAATATAGCCAATGCTATGGGTTTGCACAAAGTGTAAAAAAACTGCAGTTCCTTGAGTTTCCACTTGAGGCTGCCTCCAAAAAACCAGGAAGTCACATACACATCTATTAAAAATTGACAATTTTACAGTAGAAAGAAACATGTTTACAGCCTGGTACAAAAAACAACATTTGTCTGAATAGTGAAGTCTATCAGCACATACTGTGCACTGCTTTTATTTTATGAAGGATACATCTTACTGCAGGACCTTGAAAAGGTTTGTCAGGACGCTTAAGGCCCACCTAGTAAAGGTTGACTGTTAAAGGCTTTATATGCGATTTTTTCATCCAGTAGATGTCGCCCTTGAGCACCAGCATGAAACCAAAACAACTCGCGCTGCATTGTTGTGTTAGCATGCTAATGCTAGTGATCTTTATTCTGCTCGTATCTTCACACTGCATGTAAATTTACCTGAAATGAGCGTGATCTAGAAACACAGTTAAGCAGTGAGTACAGTATGTTATTCTTCTTTTCTCTAGTCCCTCAATTAAACAACTTTTACACGTGAGGGGAGGAGTCAGCCGGCTGTCCTGGCGATGTAAACAAAGTGAAGATAGGACTCTGAAAACTCTGAAAACATCACAGACAGTGGGACTCGGGTGTTACACCCATTGTAGACAGTCATGACTCAGAGAGTTATTTTCAGAGGATATACTTGATTTCTATTATATTTAAGTGTGAAAAATCACATACAAAGCCTTTAAGGCCCACCTCAGCTCTTTGCCTGTCGTAAGGTTGACCAAAAGTTTGATGGTCAGCATTTCCAGTATGGCAACTGTCAGCACTCAGACATCGCTGTAAAGCGCAGAAAATATATGAAATGTACAGAGCTGTTAAGTTGACCATGTTTTCACTGTTCACTAAGGTTATGTATAATGATTCATTGCATCATGTCCTTTGGTTAGGAGTTTAGGCTTTATGGAGGTGCAGTAATAATACTAAGCAGCTAAATGATCACACCATCATGCAAATGTGGCTCAGGGTGCTGCTGCCATTACTAGTGTTATATAAGAGGCAGCAGTCTGCATACAGACCAGCCTTAAATGTTACATAAAGCGAGCGTGTCCCTCCATGTTCCCTCTGCAGTGTGACAGCATGACTCTGTCCAGCACCCCGACTGTCCGCAGAGGCAGCACCCCTCTGCCCATCAAACACCAGCTCAGACGAGAAGAAGCCGTCCACGATGACTGCGACTGGGCGTCGGGAGTGGCAGGACCCTCGGCGTCTCCGATCAGATTCACCCCGGCGCTGGACGACACCCTGACCATTTCTGTGGAGAGCCGACCTGAGGGGCCTCTGAGGGTCGCCCTGCTGGGGCAGAACGGCGTGGGGAAGTCGTCTCTGGCCCTCGCTTTGGCGGGGGACATGGACCGTGCTGCGTCTGTGGATTCTGAAGGTAAAGAGCTCTGTGGTGGTGGCGAGCAGCAGGTGAATAAATCCCAGTGTGCATTTCTCCCATGTGACCTAACGGCTGCTGTCTATCCTCAGGGGAGGGTTACATACGCACAGTCACCGTGGACGATGAGGACAGCACCATCATTATCTATGACAACTGGAGACAGGTGAGGCCAACAACAACCCCCCCCCCTTCCGCCCCCTCATTAGTCCTCCTCAGTGTGCTGTATATATTTTCATATAGAGGAGGTCTTGTCACATGTCCTGAGGCCTCAGAGCTCAAACTTCTTCACTTACAGTCTAATTATATTTCTATCTCAACACTCATGTGGAAAAGAAGGGATGTATGATAGGGCTGATAAATATTGACTGTTATCAACCTATTGTAGTTATATGTTTATATAAGGGTACATGATGAACCTTTCTGAGTGTATTTTTCAGTAGTGTAGTAAAAGATGTTTCAGTCAATAAGAGATGGAGTATTAAAACTACATTACAATGTAATGAGGTGGTAACATTACTGTTTGCTGAATCAAATATCTGGTCGGTATCTTAGCTATATTTGTGACCTAGTTGTGCGGCAGATTGTCATGAGGTGTCAGTGCAGGTGTCTTTCCTTTTTTCCACCTGATGCAGTTGTGATGTTTTCGTCCAGCACTAATGTTGGTTTAAGAGCCAATGAGCTTGCGTCTCCGTCAGTGCCAAGGGATGGGTTAATCTCAAAATGAGATGCGGTCAAAGGGTTTTCAATTAATCAATCAATCAATCAATCAATTTTTATTTGTATAGCGTCAACTCATAAGTGTTATCTGGAGACACTTTACATGTTGTTCAGGCAAGCCGTCCATCAACGATCCCGTGGGGAGGATTTTGCATTCCTATCTTGGGGACCTGGAAATCGACTGTGCCTTACTCACCTAAATCCTGGTCTAAAGTCTAAAGACTGGGGTGCAGTTTGTTCCTGATGGAGACTAATGGAGGCTTTACAGGGTCACGTCCACTGAGCTTGTTCCACACACACACACACACACACACACAGGACGCACATGAGCACACCTACTACAGTTTAATATGAGTGCATTTGCTGATACAGTCAAATTGAGTTTTAATGGGCCAGAGGGCGGGGACCCCCCAAGCTCTCCTCCATACACACACACACTCCAATGTGAATTCTGTTGGATACACACAGAAACATACACACACGCTGCCACTGGCAATCATGCCCACAGGTATACAGACAGTCCAGTGTCCATTTTGCACGCATTTTAGAATATAACCAAGGATTACAAACGTAAGTCGATAAATGTTAACAGTATTCTTTTAGTTCATATTCTTTCTACAATAAAGCAAGATGAAGTAGTTTATGGTTTAGTGTGAGTTGGCTTCACAGTGAAGATACACACATAGTGTATCCACATATCCAGCATAGTGCCTACTGTTACTCTGCTCTAAGGTCTCACCAACGTGTAAAAGCCTGTCCAATATTTCCCTCTAGCCTTTCATTTCAAGGTGAAAAAGTTTTTATATTGTTGCTTTAAAGATCGAACATTCACGTCTGTCTTTATTCCTGAGCAACATTAATAGCTGGCTGAATTTTTTGCAGAGTTTCTGACAAATGACGTCAGTATCATCCTGTTGTTGTTTAATTCAGGAAAGAAAAACAGAAAAAGTCACATCTTAAAGAACACAACAGGAATTGCAACCCCAACCCCATAAACAAATATAGTTAAATGTGTTGATGTTTAATATGATGCAGAGCTCACAGAAAGAGTGTGACAAAAGATGAAATCTGCTGCACGTGGTCTACAGAGGAAAAGCTCATTATCAGGTTGTTTTGCACATCTTTCCTCTTTTCCCTCGAGTGCACTTCAGAGGCATCCAAGTGTGTGTGTGTGTGTGTGTGTGTGTGTGTGTGTGTGTGTGTGTATGTGTGTATGTGTGTGTGTGTATGTGTGTGTGTGTGTGTGTGTGTGTGTGTGTGTGTGTGTGTGTGTGTGTGTGTGTGTGTGTGTGTGTGTGTGTGTGTGTGTGTATGTGTGTATGTGTGTGTGTGTGTGAGAGAGAGCTGCCCACGGAGCAGATGTGTCAAACTGCTTTAATGTTTTGTGATTTGGGTGGATGTGTGAAAACAACTGAACTCATGACACAATCTGTCTGTGTTGATGTGTTACTCTTTGCATAATGACTTTTTATTTGTTGTGAGAAAAGCTGTAATAGCTGCCCTTATTAATTAGGGATCGTCTTATATAATCTATGGTGTTACATCTGTGTCTGTCATTAGAGTATAAAATGTTTCCTTCAGTTTAAATGAATCTAAAAGTCAGTGGACACCGGCAGCTCCGGCTGAAGACCGATGGAGATTCAGTCAGTTTGTGAAGGATTTATTCACAGGGATATTTTTTATTTTTCAGGAATTTTTTGTGGGTGTCTCTCTCTGTTGGAGAGGATGAGTGCATGTGTGTGTCAGCAGGAATTTCAGGTGTACTACAGCTTCAGCTTTCTCCTGGAGTAATTCTCACTGAGCCACGGGGGATTTAGATAGAGCTCTCACTTGTCTGCACCTCCGCTTGTTTCTCTGCACACACACGACTCTGACAACAATATTTATGAGAGCAGTGGAGAGTAAAAATGTTTGTGCTCAGTCTCCGTCCGGAGTCTGAGACCTCTGCAGGGCGCACAAGTCAAAAGGAAATAATGTTTTTTTTGGACTGAGTCCTGCTAGTACGAGGAGGTGTGTGATGATTCAGAACAGTAAAATGTTCTGACAGTAAATGAAAATAAAAGTTCTCCCGTCCCTCAGGATCTGTCGGCTCTGCTGTGTGAGGTGTGCGTCCTCGTCTTCTCTGTGACTGACAGGCGGAGTTTCCATCGCACCGCTCAGCTGAGACTCCTCCTGAGAGAGAATCAGCCCCAAACGCCCATCATCCTCGTCGGTAATAAGAGCGACCTTGTTCGCACACGTGAGGTCACCGCTCAAGGTAAGACCCACCTTTTGTTTTCAGCTTTATCGGGTTATTTCGGTAAAGGTAAAATAGTTTGAAATTGCTGCAGTAGATTTCTTCATCCAGCTGCACCGACTTGATCCATGGGGAGAATGAAATGATCAAATTTTGTTTTCTGTCATTTAAGTCTGGTGGATTCAAGCGGCAACTTCTGGTGTTGAAAAATTAAGCTGTGCAAAAAGTGCAAAACCATGCAGTTCGTCCACTTGAGGCTGGCTGCAGAAGAACTGGAAGTCACATACACACCCATTCAAATAAGCCAGTTAATACAGCAGGAAATTAACATGTTTACAGCAGGGTTGCACAATTAATTAATTAATTTTGTAAACAAGCAGTGCTTTCTCACTCAGTATACATTTTAACTGGATGGAAACCTGGGCCCATGCTTTCACACCATTCTGATTCAGACAGATGAGGCTAAAGATTGCTTTCAGCTACCCTCAGATTAATTGGTGCAAATTTAGTGGTGAAAAGAAACGCTTTTTTTTTTTTTTTTCAGGAGAACCATGTTGCAAAAAGGTAACAGGGGATACAAATTCATGTTTCTCATATCGTGCAGGCCTAGTTTACAGCCTGTTTCAAAGAACAAAATAGTTCTGATTAGCTCACATCTTGATCTGCACACGATGTACGGGGGCTGATGACTCATCTGTTTTGATTTTATGAAGGATAATCATTATTAACAAGGAGGCGCGTAGCTGCCCTTATTGACAGACGGGATGTTTTTCAGTGGTTTAAAACCAGCCTCAGCTCCAGCTAAGCTCAGCATGTTGTTACTGTAGGTTGACTGAAATGTTGGTTGAAACAGGAATTCCAGCATGGAGACCGTTGCCGATGAGCCTCTGGCGGCCCCCTTCAGGAACAGATGGGTCACTAAACTCAGGCTTTGTCCATTATACTGTATGTTTATATGTTTGTTTATGGGTGGATTCATGTTCCTCTTTAAAATGTAGTCAGTATTTATTCTGCAGAAAGTCCAAGAGAACTGTCTTATCTGGATCAAATCAGGAGAATTAACCTCGAGCGAGTGGAAGGGGGAGGTGACGTTTATTCCCTGCAATCGGGATGGGAACAATCTGTTTTTATCTGTTTGCCAGTTTGTTCTTTTCAGCTCTTCTATTGATATTGGGATTCAGTCAAACTACACATAGCATTAATATAAATGCAAATATTCTCTTTAGTAGCATCATATACAGACTCTGTTGCTTTATCCACTACTTACACATTTTATGTTTTGTCTTGTCTCAGGAGAACCCCCCCCCCCATCACAGGGATAGTCTCCTGCTGTGAGGTGCATGTGTGAACAACCAGATCAGGAGAATTTCAGGAGCAGTCCTACTGATATACTTCAGACATTTTTGGTAGTGCACATGTGAAAGTGGTTTGATAGAGACTCGCGCAAATTACAGGTTTTGATGACACACATACACACTACAAGCAAAGTCTCTTCTCTCCCTACCTCTAAAAGTGAGATGAGTCAGCAGCACAGAGAGTAAATATAAACTCCCCAAACCTGGTCTGAATCAAGGCCAAATCAGCCACACACACCTGACCCTGCACCGAGCTGAGTGCCACCACAGCAGCTATTATTATTATTATTACACTTAGTTTAGCAATTCAAAACCTTTTTTCTCAATAGTCATTAAAAACCAAAAAAGTAAAAAAATAAAAATAAAAATAGGGCCTCTTGTTTTGTCTTCACAGTTGTCGTTGACATTTTCAGGTCTCGATTTCTGTGGGTAAACTCGGGCGTAGGGTGAAATATGTGAAAATATAAATGTCAGTATGACAGCTTCATCACAGTGTGGGAGTCAGAAGGGAGTCAGTGTAACAGTTAAACAGCGGAGGATTCACTTTGTGTCGGCACAGTTGACCTCTGAACTTAAAAACGTTCATTATGACTCAACAGGCGATGATTACAGATAATGCTTTAAAGATGTCAATTTATTGTGAAGAGGATTGAATCTTGAAGTGGGAGGTGCAATCCTGTAAACATAAATACATCCGGGTGGAAGTTGGCTACCACTCCCAGGGTGCATTTTGGCAAGAAACATCTAATGTGCTATCTTTCCAAATAAAATTTACAAATAAACAGATACTGGGTGCATCACAAAGTGCCTACACAATCTGACAGTAGACAGTCCCTTCTCTCTGTGCTGTATCCTGTTAGTACCTATTGAGTAGGCGCGCACAGTAGGCTGATATTTGATCCTACTTCGTCTGATTCATTCATTGTGGAAGTGGTGTCATCAGCCCGCCTCATGTTATTGACACTACAACTCAGATGTGATATGCACGATGGCTCAATAAATAATACAAAAGGTCACATTTCATGAAAACAATTCAACAACTTAACATTCGATAGGCGTGTTACCTGAACCGGCCTCATCTATCCTCATTTATTTATTTTTTCATCCTCGTTTTTTTTATTTGGAGGCGTAATTTGGCACAGCATTGTGGGTGTTAAATTACAATTAATTTCCTGAAAGGATGCATCCAAACTATACTGCACAAAACCTGGAAGTTAGTATCCATACTGAAATGTTCAGTCTACTGAGGTGGACACAAAAAATGCATACTGAATGACCACTAGGGTTCAGTCTACTGAAAAGTCCCCACTGCATACTGAACTGAGGCTTTTTGAAAAGGGCCACTTTAATGCCTCCATGAAACAGAACTTTAAGAGTATCTACCTGCCGTTTTGTGACTTAAACAGGATAGAACCAATCACAAGATAGAAGGTGGGACATAACATTGTGATGAATTTGATTGGACTGTTAGCTGCGACAACACTTTTTAACTGGTGGAAAAATGTGTAAACCCCCAGAGTGCAGGATGATACATGATACATACAGAAATGTATGTTGGAGTAATCCCAGGATGAGTCTGCAGAGGGCGCTAAACGCCTTGTTGTAAGCTCAATGTAAACTGTGGAAACGTCTTCTTCCAGCCCTCACCTGGCAGCCCTGCAGCGTTCTGCCCTCCTGGAAGGCTTTCAGAGAGCTGGCCAATCAGAAGAAAAGTGGTCCCAGTTGGACGGGGGCCTTAAAGAGACATCAGCTAAAAATAAAAAAAACCTTTAAGGCAGAGACTGAAATGTAGGTTTTTACTTATGACAGTATGAGACAATGAAGGCAAATCTTCTATTTAGGTTTCAGTCTGACAACAGGAGAGTCAAAAAACGAGGATAATATGGAATCTTATAATGTCCATTTGAGATGATATTAGCAACCAGGGAGGCACATTTATTCCTCTAATGTATCAACAAAGAAGCTTGAGTTTGCAGCAGCTCATTACTTGACTACTTCTCTCTTGCTATGTTGACTGAGAGGCTCAGAGTCAGAAATGAACAGATAAAACATGAACCTCCACCGCTGATTAATTCTGCAGCAGATCTCTTTTAGGAAATGAGTAAAATAGAGGATGTGATTCATGCATGTTGCTAATATGCACCCTGGGAATGATACAGGCTTATAAACACTCAGTTTATTGAACTTTAGGGAAACATGAAGAATGTCGATCTCTGTGTTTTATTGGCTATCTCTTTATTTATATATATGTTGCTTTTTGATAAGATGGGATTTGTGCCGCTGCTGCTTGTGGAAAGAGATTTTTGATATTTTTTTTAAGTAGTTAATGTTTTCAGTGTGATGTCTTTGCCAAAGGGAAACTGGGTTAAATAAATCTGCAGTTTTCATCTTTTTGTAGTTAAAGCTGGTGTCTGCCAGTATGTGATGGAAAACAAACCCCCACATCTTTAGTCTTCATGTTTTGTTCCATTATCTCCTGTCTCGCCCCCCTGACATGTTTACAATGGCTGAAAGGTATTTTGTCTTTTATTCACTGGAAAATTTTAGCCCCTCAAGAACGATATGATGGACACTGAGTACTGACACTGATGTATTCACCCTTGTCAGAATTCTTGAAACCTTTTTAATTTCTGTATTTTGCAAAATTGAATTTACGACACGCTTCCGAGTCTCATCCTTTTAAAAGAAGACATGTATTGATTTAGGAGTAGTAGAGTTAGCTCAGGTCAGCATCTCTGTTACAGTAAACTGAACATCTTGTCTTTATTCACCTTCTTCCTTCTCAGAAGCGATGTCCAGCGCCGCCCTCTACAACTGCCTCTACCTGGAGATCTCCGCCTCTCTGGACCACCGCACACCCGAGCTCCTGGAGTGCGCCGTTCGACTAGCGAGGGGTCAGCCCCCGTGGCCCCCTGGAGCCACCGCGGAGGACATGATGAGCGGCGGCCAACGCGAGAGCATGACCACCAAGGCCAAACGCTTCCTGTCCAGCCTGGTGCCCCGGTACCCGAGAGAGCGAGAGGTGGGCAAGTTCCTGAGGCAGAAGTCCCGCTCGTGCCACGACCTGGGGGCGCTGTGATTGGACGACGACGGAAGGTTGATGGTTATATTGTTGAGAGAAAAGAATACCAACTAAGAGAGTGAATTGAAAAAAAGACAGAGTGAAGGAAACTGAGAGATGGAAGGACAATGTCCGAGGGAGCAGAAGAAACAGGGAGATGTTAGTGATGTTTTTCTGTTAGGTAAATATAGATATTTTGTACACTAGAGTAAACATAGAAGAAGAAATAGTGTTGTAAATAAAATATAGAAGTGATGCATAAATACTGCCTTCAAAGCTTTGACAGATTAATAAATTTCTTTTTTTGAGTCTTGAGAAACCTGCTGCATTTCTGCCTTTTTTTAATCCGGTGGATGCATTCAACACATTTAACTGAGACAAAGTCATGACCACGCACATCCACGAGTCATTAGTGTGGTTAGATTTTGTTGATGATTCATGTTGTGCTCCTTTTACTTTCAGTACATTGTGGTTTCCATGAGGATGGGAAGCGGTGAATAGTAAAAAAAATGCCAGCGAGGAGAGGAGAGACTTAAGAGATAACACCATACTTAGAGAGCAGAACAGGAGAAGTGGAGGCACATATTGTATATGGAGGGGTTGTTGCCATGCTACAGTTGTCAAGGAGACCTGCATCACATATGTGCATACACCTGTGCTCTGTATGCAGCGTAGAGATTTCAGCGAAGGCTGATTTTGTGCAGTAAATTGTATTTTCTGAACACAAACATTAAAAAAGCAGAGGATTTTTCAGCCTCCCTGCTCTCTCTCTCTCTCTCTCTCTCTCTCTGTCTCTCTCTACACTCAGCACTTCCATCCTCCTACTCACACCCACACGTGAACAAAGATTTAGCACATCATCACAGGTCTTTACACCCATCATTTGTTATCAAAGGCAGAGCTGTGCTATAATAGAAGTGGAAAAATAAAAATGTTGGCATGATATTCTGACTCATTCGCTTGGCTGCAAACTCCTGGAACAGATTGAAAGGTTGAGATTTTTGGATCCTCAACGTGAGACACAGGCTCCCTCTTGTGGCCGAGTTGCATACATGGTTGCATGACTTTATGCTTAAATGTATGGTAAAAGGTTTTAAAACTGGAATAGCAGGTTCAGGTCAGGTTCAGGTTACTTTATTTGTACCCGTAGGTAGATTTGGTTGCAGGGAGAGACACTCAATACAACACAGACAAAACATCAAACACACAAAGTGCAAAGTGCTGAGGTGCATAAAGTGCGCAGGTTCCAATCACAATCAATAAAACAAGTCGATCTGTAAAAGCTACAGAGCCGAGAACACCAGAATAAATAATACCAAGAAGCATGACAACAACCTCTCAGGCTGCTATCTCCGTCCCTCCATGCAAAGCCTTCATGAAATTACAATGACCACATCAAGCAGCAAAGAGGAAAGACATGATACACACACACACTATGACTTGTTCCGCTCTATAATAGCTGCTGGGACAAAGCTGTTCCTATAGCGCTTTGTTCTGCACTTTGGAACTGAAAGTCTTGGTCCAGAAGGAAGAAGCTGAAACTCACAGTATAGAGGATGGGACTCATCTTTTAAGACTGAGCCGGTGAGCCGCTCCACCTGCCTGGTGTACAGGGTCTCCAGACTCAGCTTACTGTACCACCTCACGATCTGGTTCAGAGAGTTTCTGTTCTTCACAGAGAGGTTTCCAAGCCATGACACAACAGAAAAAGATACGACACGACATAAGCACGGTGAAAAAAGGTCACCATGGTTTCGTCAATGTGAAAACGGGCCAATTTCCTCAGACAGGATAAACGCTGGTGCCCCTTTTTACTCACAGCTTCACAATTCAATTCAGAGGTTAAGTTTAGAGTCAATAATTGTCCCAAGATATCTGATTGTACACATTCGACTGGTTGACCATTAATGAGTGTGACTTCTTGTGTGTGGGACGTTTTTCTAAATTCGATGGTCATATCTTTAGTTTTGGATATGTTTAACTGCAGATAAGATTGCTCACACCATTTGACAAAGTCATCAAGGACTGGACCTCACTCTTTGAATTTCCGAGGTCTGCAATGGTCTTCATGCTCGACCAGACTGAGCCGAGATTGTTTCAGCAGATCTCAGTCAAGCAGAGCATCAGACTCACTCTGAGGTATCACACAGGTCCTAATATCATTGCTAAACACATTTCATGCAGAACTTCTTTTGGAGTGTTTGTATAGAAACAGATCAGTGTGCAAACTACAAGTACCTGCAGCTGCCAAAGTGTTTGAAGAACTTTAAAAAATCCCTTAGACTGGTGTCTGAGTTTGTAAAACAGAGAAGCTGCCAGGGTTTTCATGATACTAGAATTTTAAACATCAACATACTATTAAAAATAAACAGAAATTGATGCCTAATTAGATACCAAAGCAAATATAAAATATACTGGTAAAATAATGGTTTAATTATTCATAACACACATAAGTGTTAAAAGTTAATTTCAACTATAGAAAAGTCTAGGATATTCACCAAAAGCCAGCGGCATGATTTCAAACCTCGACCAAAATGTGTGTAAAGCTTGTTCCTAATTTTTAAAATAGGAATAATATAAAGGTTAATCACATCTGTGCAAGTTCTTCCACTGGCTCAAAACCAAAATGTTAAATAAATCCATCCAGTCCTTTGTTTGTGGTCTGCATAAGTCTTACAACACAGAGACAAATGATCCATTTCAAATTTGCTCTCCTTGTGATGTCACAGTGGGATTCTGGTAAAAAAAATCCCCTCCCCTCCCCTGATAACTCCCCCCATGGACTCAACCCACAGCCTAGATACAATCTTTTGCACAGATCCACCATTTTTGTCTTGCTATCTACAGGGAAAACTCAGGGGGGGGGGTCATTACATTTAAAGAGACACAAACACACACCAAAACGGAGTGTTCTGAGAGAGCTGGTTTATACAGGGTCACAAACCTCCTCTGGTGCTTGATTCATGTTATATTTTGACCAAAGCACAGCACAGATGTTTCATTTAGATCACAGTGGACTGTTTGAAAAGGTGGAGAAGAGGGGGGATCATATGTCCTCTTTAATACTAAAATGTAGAAAAGAAGGGACTACTTTTCCAACAGTTGCATGAAATCAGCTCATACGTTGAATCAAACACTGAGAGCTCTAATGTAACTTCTTACCCCCTCCTAAAAGTTTTGCTGTAAGATGGTCACTATTAAACAAGTTTGAGAACTACCTCAAAAGCGAAGCTAAAGCCAGCTAATCAAGAAGAGGTGGTCCAAGTTCGCCTGCTGTAGCAGCATATTATAAATATTAACATTTCCTCTCCAAGAAAGTGAAAATTATTGAAATGTAGCTTAAGACAAAGTTGAATCTTTTTATTATTCCCCTGATGCCAGACTGTTACAGACGACTAAGACGGGATTACAATCACAGAAGATTTATTTAAGAAGCTTTTAATGGTTTTCTTTAATGGAATGATTAAAGTGAGAAGTACATTGATAGTAGGTTTCCATGGTAAACAGACAGGGGGCGCTCTAACAGAACAGGATCCGTTTAGAGGCTGCAGGCCTGCAGCTTCTGGTCAGCCAGCTTTAGGGACACCCAGGTGTTCAGCATGGAGGTACGAAGTTTGCACCACACCAGGTGATCGGTCAGACCGAAGATCTGTGCCGCAAACTGAGCGGCGGCCTCGGGGGAGAGGACGGTGGAGCAGCCGAGACCTGCAGGAGGAAAAGAGGGGCGTGGTTAGTATGATGATTAAACTCCTACGTGATGTGATCTGTATCATTGACGATGTTCTTTGTTCATCTCTTTTTTTAATGTCTTAACTAATTGCCTATTGTGGGATTAATCAAGTTATTTGAATTTAATTACCGCTCGGCATACGCAGGGAGGACCAGACATCCTGGGCGCCCCAGTCTGGAGTGAGAGGGGGGCAGTTGATGACAGGATAGGCCGTGTTTCCCGACATCACTGGTCCGAGGCCGTTACTCCTGCCGGCTACAGCCACAAAGACTGTGGGGACGCCATCACCTGAAGGAAAGAAAACACACATCAGCAACATGAGGGCGGGACCAAATCCTCACTTACCGATGCTGGACTCAGTCTCAGACTGCAGGGCTGAAAGTAGAGGCTTAGCAGGTACACATTTACTCAGAGGAAGATCTAGTTTGGGCCCTTGTTTTTGTACCGAGGGTTAGTTCACAATCTCTTGTATTAATCCAACAGCTTTATAAATCCTAACTTTTAGAATAGCTCACAAACTCAGATCTTCCCTGATCATTTTAAACATATTTAGGGTTTGAAATCTGGATGCTTACGTCCGACTCTGAGCCGGACCAAATCAGCCAATGAGAGAGACATGTACAAGAAAGTGGAGCTGCAGATGTTTTTTCCCAGAACATATTGGCCTCTGAAGCTAACATTTTTCAGATGAAGTTAAATGACTTGGAAGCGGATACATCTGGCTGTAGATGTTCTTCCTGATGTATTTGACAAACATTTTGCGGTTTGGATTTGTTAGTTGTGTCTTTTAATGTCTACTGTATTTGAAAGATTGGCTGCTCGTTGTCCGTGTGAAAGTCTGTTAATGTTTTGCTGCCTGTCTTGGCCAGGACACTCTTGAAAAAATAGATTTTTAATCTCAATGAGTTTCTTTCCTGGTTAAATAAAATAATAATAAGCTAGCATGCTCCATCTGGTTTAAGTCAAGCAGTGTCACTGAATACTCCCCATCTCTACCTTTGTAGGGAATGCCAGCCGAGGAGGAATGATAAATAGCTGCATGAGTTTAAGTGATAACTAATATTACACCAGGTAGGTTTCACACAATAATAACAACCAACAATTAAATAAGAATATAATTTTTTTTTTTAAACTCACCCTCATATTGAGCTTTGATGCGCAGAGTCTCGTCCGGTCCTTTGTGAGCTGAGGTGACTCTGAGGACACAGGGGATCCCGTACGACAAACACGCCTTCCTGATCTTCTCACAGTGAGCCATGTCCGAGGTGGAGCCCATCAGGACCACCACCCGCCCGCTGGCCTGAGGCTCCAACAGCAGCTTCAGACACAACACAGCACTCGTTAACTTTCAGACAGATCAAGGTTTGGTTTTCTCTCAGATTCTCACAGTGAAACAGTTTGCTGCAGAGCTTCTGAATCCAGCAGCCCCTCACTCCCACCGGACCAGAACCGGTGGGTGTGAGGGTGTAAGAGTGATCCTCTTACTGAAGAGGGAAAGAAGACAGGCAAAGACTACTAAACAAGTCAGAGAGATAAACAATATTGGAGTTACTCTCAGATTCTTTTGTTCATCGAGTGTCAAGAAAAGGAGCACATTAAATCTCAGAGCAGACAATCGTATCCTCTTTGGGGTTTGTTCACCTGAACAGTACAAGTCGTTTAAAGGCTTTATGTGATTTTTTCATCCAGTAGATGTCGCCCTTGAGCATCAGCATTAAACCAAAACAACTTGCGCTGCATTGTTGTGTTAGCATGCTAATGCTAGTGATCTTTATTATGCTGGTATCTTCACAGTGCATGTAAATTTACCTGAAATGAGCGTGATCTAGAAACACAGTTAAGCAGTGAGTACAGTATGTTATTCTTCTTTTCTCTAGTCCCTCAATTAAACAACTTTTATACACGAGGGGAGGAGTCAGCCAGCCGTCGCAACAATGTAAACAAAGTGAAGATAGGACTCTGAAAACTCTGAAAACATCACAGACAGTGGGACAGTGTGTTACACCCATTGTAGACAGTCATGACTCAGAGTTATTTTCAGAGGATATACTTGATTTATATTATATTTATATTATAAGTGTGAAAAATCACATACAAAGCCTTTAACTAAGAAGTGCAAAAGTCCAAATTTCAGTATGAATAAATACAATGATCTGAGAAAATGGTTTCATTATACCTTCACTCTTTCAGAGACCCACTCAAAGTTCCTCTTCACCATCTGCATGGCCTCAGGTGTGACTTCTTTCAGGTCTCTGTACACCTACAAAAAGAAGGGGAAAAGGTTATTTTTGCTTTTTAATCTTGTGATTATAAACAAACAGCCCTTAAAAGAAAAGTCCTGACCTGCTTATCTTTCTGCTGGCTCCGGTCTCCAGCCGGCCACAGCCTCCATGAATCGTTATCGATCACATCGGCAAGAACGATCTCCTTAGTCTTCACGTTAACGCCAAACTCGATCTAAAGCACCAAAAATAAGATAAAACACTCCTATAGTTAGAAGCAGCTGTGAATATTTCAAAAAAAGTGTTCACCCAGCAGATTCACCAGCAGAGGGCAGCACTGCTCTTCATACCTTCATATCCACCAGGGTACAGTTCTGGGTGGCCCAGGCTTTCTCCAAGATCTCAAAGATGGCCACGGTGCTGCGGTTCATGATGTCCACCTCACACTGACCGATGGAGAGTCCAGCAAGACAGAACTTGGCCTCCAGCAGCTGCTCCTCCGACCACTGGGGGTCGTTGTTGGCATCATCCTACAGCAAAAAAAAAAAAAAAAAAAAAAAACATGAAGGTGGATTAGGTTTGTGGCAGGCTTGTGAAAAAGTCAAGTGACTACAGTGCAAAAATGTAATAATCATAAGTATTACATTTTGTTCTCCCCTCCAAGGTAGGAGGAAAAGTAAGGGGGTAGATAAGAACATGTGACAAAAAGATACAGGGAGACAAGGACCTTTGTTGAAAGAAGTGACAGCCATGGGCCTCGCAAGTTTGTGCATGTCTGCTTCTGTTACATAAGATGATGATGGCTGTTTTTTTTTTTTGTCTTGTTTTTTTCCTTTCTGTTCCTGATTTAATTTAATTTGTAATTTATTCCATTTATTCCCATTGTTACTGCTGTGAATGTCAGAGCACTAGGGTGTTAAATGATCTTTGTAATGGTGAAAATATCTATGTAAAAATAAACCTAGAATAAAAGGTTGAGCAGCCAGAGGATATTAAATATAATCCAGGACTAATGTCACCAATTAAACCAGTGTTTCTATAAATGTGTTCAAAATAATCTAGCACTCAAAGAAATGTACACAGATTTAATGAGGCTTATTTGGATTTTTTTCTTTCACTTTTTACCAAGACCACCAATAACAGCTAGGTGTGTCAGCTCTAGTGAAGACTAGCTCAAGGGTTTAAATTCTACCAGACCTGTGTTTGACAAGTAGAAACAAAAACTCCCCTGAAGCTCAATGAGGCTTCATCTTCTTCTACAAGGGATGTCTCATTTATCTCATTTGTGGTCTGACACAGTTAGTGATTCAAATGTAGTGCCTTTTTTCATTATGCACATTTTAAGACTAAAATCTGGGGGGCCTGTTGGGTGTCAGACTCACTTTAAAGAACATCTCCATCTTCAGGGGGGAGAAGCGATAGCCCTCTTTGACTCCTGGATTCCTCTTGAGGAATGATCCAGTGGCGACTCTGCGACAGACCCACTCGATGGGGATCATCTCACAGTGAGCTGCGAGGAACGCCGTGTCCGAGTGCTGCTGCACGAACGCCGTCTTAACGCCTGGAGGAGAAGGAGCACAGCAGATCAGACACACAAACCTTTAAAGTGCGTCAAGATCAGTGAACATCTGAAACTCTACAGTATATTTGTATGCATGAGAGTTAAAGGGGAATTGTATTCCTTCATCCACAATCTAAACAACATCCGTTTCAGACTCAAGATGTTTATTTTATTATCCAGACAGAGCCGTAACATCACTTTTTAAATCCACCACACTCTATTAACTAAAACACTCGTTTTACTTCTTACAACACACGAGTTGCTGATCTACATCTGCCTTGATTACAAAAGTTTGTTTGTGTAATTTTACGTTAAACTTTTTTTTTTTTTTTTTTATTGGCTCTGAACTGACCATTTAAAACACAGAAGTCACAAACTCACTGAGACCAGACACTCCAGTGTTATGCAAGAGAAACTTTTCTTATTGGAGTCAGCTTTATAAGAGATACTCCTAGTTTAAATATATATATATATATATATATATATATATATATATTCCTCTGTAACAAAAAGGTCCATCTCTGTAAAATCCTTTCTGTGCTGCATTTTGAATAACAATCTGAGCCCGTCAGGCATGAACTTTTAGTACATCAAATTTGAACAGTGTATTCCCATCAGGACTGAGTTTAAACCATCACAGCCTCATGTGTGTCTGCCGGCTGAACCTACCAGAGCTTTAAAGAAAGATATAAGCCAGACCAATTCATACAGTGAGGAGGAGTTTGACTGCAATTTCTGTTAATTAAAACAAGATATTTCCGAATATCAGGAGCATAGAACTTGTCTGTTTTAGTGCCCTGGAATCAAAACAGGCATCAATATTGTTTTTTAACTAGAGTTGTACCAAAATCTGGTATGGTGCCAACCCTACTTTGGTTTAGGGACCCGTTCAGGATGAAGGTGCTCTGCCAGGTAAGGCGTGTAGCAGGTGAGTCATAATCGCCTCGAGGCCACTAAACCACATGTTGAGAAACCATGAGGCGGGAAACTGTAACGTAGTTTATTAACACATTAATTTCAGACCTTAATTCATTAATGGTGATGGGCCCCCCTAGTGTTAATCTTCAATTCTGACTTCTTTTCTCACAACTATCACCTGCCATGGGGATCTTTTAATTAGCAGGCTTAGTTTTATTTAATGTTTCTTTTAAGTTGTAGCTAATGAGATACAAAGTCCAAAATATAAGATGGACCAAGTTTGAGACAATGGGGGAAAAACGTTTAAATGATGAGATCGTAGGTCAGAATGAAAAACTCAAAAGCTTCAGTACAGCAGCCCAGCTTTATGAAATAAATAATAAACTCCTACCACGGGGGCTTTTGACTTTACAAAGCCTACTTTTAGGGGTTTCTTGTGGCCCTCAAACCAGTCTGACCTTGTGCCGTGAGTTAAAGGGGTCGGTGAGGTGACTGTTCAGAAAGAAAGACAAACCTTTGGCCTGTTTACCTTTCTCTTAGGAAACCCATCTCAGTCAGTTTCAGCACTATTTGTAGTGGTAACACTGGATCTTATTTACAGGATTTAATGATTCTGTCAAACTGGCTCCCACATTCCCTTTTTGTCTCACCGGCCAAGGGGGCGAGTAAATGAGAAAATAATAAATAGTGTTTTTGTGTAACACACGATTGTTTCAGGGCCTGGAGAAGAAATAATGTCTCCCTTTGACTTCCAAAAAAAATGTGTGAAGTATAACAGTGGTGTTCAAAGGCTCTTGAGTCCTTAGCAGTATAACAAAAAATGAGTCATTACTTCTGAATTTGAATAATTGATCACTTATTTTCTGTATTTTTAATTCCTCTCTGCAGAGTACTTAATCCCTTAAAGACAAAACCCCTTTGGACTTTTCATGCATGTAGAAGAGACAGAGCTCTGCAGTCATGTTGAAAATGACTCTCCAGCTGGCTTTAATTTAGAAGTAATGTGGTAACTGTTCCCCTCATGCCGCTCATTGTGTGTGTGTGTGTGTGTGTGTGTGTGTGTGTCAGAGGGGACTGTGGTCATGCCTGTCTTGTGACTTGGTGCACTTAATTTAGAACATGATCTGCTAAATTATCATTACTTAAAAAGGTTTAATTGTTTTATTTTAAACCTGTGATGTATAGTAACAAGTTTTCCACTAATGAGTGCAATAAGTTCAGTTGATTGTTCTGATACTTTGTCCATGAAGAAAATGAAATTGTGTCATATAAAAAAAAAAAAAAGGTAGCAGCATAAGTATCAAACATTTTTACATTTAACAACAAAACTGTTTCGTCTTTATTGTGAGGGTTTTTTGTACGACTTAGACCAGGGGTGGGCAACTGGGGGCCACATGTGGCCCTCAAGTCAATTTTTATATATCAAAACATGACAAATCTGCCATGAAATCCAGAAATATGTCCATAATAATATTTGATCACTGGTATATGTTGAGTTAAATTTGAGACATAATTGACTGTAATCGTTTTTGTATTCTACAATTTGGCCCTCTGGCAGTGAGAATGAAATGAATGTGGCCCTAGCTGTGACCAAAGTTGCCCATCCCTGACTTAAGACATTGTGCAGTTTCCCTGCAATTTTTTTGCACTCTCTCTAGTGGAAACTTTTGGTTAATAAACAACAGAAGATCAGAATTATTATTTTGATTTTCAGTATTTCCATAATTTAGTAATCAAAATCTCCAAGACTGGATTGTTTAATAAGACAGGTGATTAAAAAGAAATCACAAGTTTTCAACCTTAGAAAACAACATTATACCAACAGTACCAGGTCCTGTTTGATAGACTTCAATACAATGCTGATTTTAAAAATAATATTATTGATGCCACAACCGCGAAAATGCTTAAGTCCTAGAGCCCCGTTATTGGGCAATGTTTGGATTATCAAAAAATTTGTACCGAAACTTTGCCAATATTTTAGTGCAATTAAGTATGCATGAATTCACCTGCACTTGTCTTTTGGTTTGACTGTAGATCTTAAGTTTGGACATTTTCAATCCCATCTTTCATCATCAACTAAGTCTGTATCGTTTTAAACCACGTGGTATCCAAAGTATTATCTTATTTACAGTCTATGGTATTAAAGTATGTACAGTTTTTGTGTTTCCTCACCAGACTCCTGCAGCAGCTTGAACACGCAGCTCGTCGTCTTGTTGGCGATGGCAGCCTTTCCCTCCATCTGGTCCTTCCTCACCGCGTTCCCGGCGGTGATCTGGTCTTTGGATTGAACCAGAACCAGACCTGGCTGGTCCAGGAGCTCGAAAATCTGCTTCGTCTTCCCTTCATTCAACTTTTGGCCGATCTTCAACTCTGTAACACAAAACAAAAACACGCACACATAAAGGAAATGCGCTCATTAAACGCCGTGCATTGACTTTAAAATCTTGAATAGAAGTATTTTTTGTTGTTTTGTACCTGGTGTGGAGGACATGATGGGGTAATTTCGCGACCCACAGCTCTGAAAGACAAAACTTTGTACAGTTGGTATGTGAAGAGGCAGTGAGAGGCACAAGGGAAGGGAAGTTCGCCCTACGTGCTCTGAAAGCCAATCACAGCCCTTTTCTCACTCAGACAACCAATCACAGCAGCGCATTCTGACCACGTGATGGGAAGAAGCGCAACACCGAATATTTGCTAGGCGAAGAACTTTTTTTTAGAAGTTTATCCTCTCAAAGTGACCCCGTTTCCCTCCAGTGAGGACGTTTGATTTAATCAAGAGAAAAGAAGTCTGCGGGTTTCACCAAATCTTATTTCGATTAGTTCTTACTATCTTCCTCGTGAAGTACCACGTGCGTTTTGCACAGTAAACATGCTCGATTAAAAAACACGTTTCGATTAATTTATGTGACTACAGTAATGGTGGCCTCTCTCTACGTACAAAGCTGTACCCGGTGATGGTTTTTTTCGGCCGGTTTAACGGTGTCAGCTGAGTTTATTTAAGTTTTAACGAGCCACGTTGTACCGTGTCTGCACGTGGTTCTGCCACTACCACTAACACGCTCCGGTTAACCGAGACACTCCGGTCGGACAGGCAGCGTCGGGATGGAGTTTGAGGAGTCCGGTATCGGGGAGGAGTGCGGGGTTTTCGGGTGTGTGGCAGCGGGAGAGTGGCCCACGCAGCTGGAGGTGGCCCAGGTCTTGACTCTGGGACTAACAGCGTTACAGCACAGGTGAGTCAAGGACAGGTGTGTTGGAATGAGTATTGGTGGAGATGAGAAGTCCGGTGTGATGGGGTAAAGAGTGACCGTGTTAATTGAGGACTTTAATCCGATAGCGTCTGTGGTTGTCGTAGTTACGACAGATGTTGGAGGAAGAAGGGAAGTGTTCATTCATGTGGCGTTCTTTGAGAAACTTTGTTACCAACATCTGTACGAAAACCACGGGCTCATTCGGGTGGAGACACCATTTAACACGGTCACAATCTGAACCGTTACACCGCCACATAATGACTGGTTTTTGAACATCTGTGCATCCAAAACAAACTTTAACGTGATGAAATCCAAATATCATTATTATGTGTGCAGAATAACTGTCCTCTAAGGAAGAATTATTTCGTGTTTTCATATTTCACATTTTTATGTAGAAATAAAGGCACAGCAAAGATTTTGCTGCTACCGGTAAATGTTTGACGACTTTTTAAAGATAAACCAAATAGTTCACCGAAATGGCAACAGATAATGAAATATAGTTTGGGCTAAAGCTTGAAAAATGTGTAATTTAATGCTACGTGTTTTTAGTTGATTATCAATTTGGTTTATAGAGAAAGAGAACAAACTCTTAGATTGTCCCAGACACCCAATACTGAATTATTATTTTTCTTTAAATGCCAGATTTGCTAGCAATCCCCTGCCCACTACCCAAACATCTGCACATTTTGTTGCATCTGCTCTTTGTGTATTTGTAGAGGTGTAGCCTAATGTCTATATTTGCTGACATGTGAGATGTAGTGGAACACCAAAGCGCTCTCTGTCAGAGACAACTTTGGTTTACAAAAGGAAACCACTAAAGAACTGTCGTTTTTTTAAAGCTTCTGTATTTTTTGATTCTATCAATCTGAGATTTATCATTTTAAAACACTCAGTATGGAGAAGTATTAAAGTATGTGAGTATCTAAAATTTTGACAGACTTAGTTGAAATGTTTTTGTTTTCATCACAGATCAATATGCTAATTGTTTTCTGAGTTGACCATTGAGTGTCAGAAAAACAATAAAGTGGCTGATATAAATCTTCACAACTCAAAGAAATTCCTGATTACTTTTTTAATTTAACTTTTAGTCCAAAGACATCACATTTAGCATTTTTTGTTTGCTATATGTTTAACTATTTACCTTGTTGTTGCTGCTCACTTTGGCATCCTGTATGTTCAGGTTTTAGATTTAACATCCTCAGTTTGTTTTGTTTGTAGGACACTGACATTACCTGTCTGTCAGGGGACGAATCAGAGGAGGCCATTGACCGCACTGAATTGATCTTTATTATGGGGATGTGATCGTCCTCTTCTTTACATTGGACCTTTGGGTTATCAGCAGATTCAGAGTGTGTGTACAGCCGTTTTACTGCTCTTTCAAGTGTGGAGTCTGAAAGAGAATAAGGCAGGGGGATTAGTATCCACACTTTATTTCCTAACACTGGTTTCTTTTTCTCTCATTCGACTCCATCACGACTTGTGTTTGCAGTCACCACCCGGCCATTATCTGTAACTTCATTATCAGATTCATCATGAGACTGAGTTCAGTCAATGAGGATGACATGTGACACACTAAGTGATTACAGATGGATGCACATTGCAAACCTTGATCCATAGATTTCCTCTTCTTGGGTCTGTCGGGTGTAAAGGATTTCTCCTCTTCCTCTGCCCGGTCATTAGAGGAGCCTGCAGATGACAGAAAACAGTGAGAAACCAACACACAAGGCTCTCCTGTGGAGCAACATGTGAGAGGGAAAAACTGTGAAATACAGAGCTGAAATAAGCCGGTTACTGCATACAACAACAACAACAACAACAACAACAACAACAAAAAAAGAGAGGTTATAATAACGGATGTTCCTAGACAGATTTCAAAGTAAATTCAGTTTAAATTCAAATTCAGGCCAGCTGGAAGAAACAAGTCTGAAAGTTTAAAAAAAACCACACCATTAAAACTGAGCAGACACAGGATCACAGTGTCTGTAAGTAAACAATGTACAATCTGTTTGCTGAGTGTGGCTAATGTTAGCATTGCTAGCACAGCCAGCCTTTGGTCCTCATGCAGAGGAACATCCACAAAGCCTGAGCTGAATGTAGTTACACATTGCTGTGGTTGAGTGTTTTATCAGCTGGTTACCTATAGGTATTTGTTCCGTGGTTAGTGAATGGGCTTGCAGAGAGTTGGTGATGATTTGAAAGACAAATATCAGACGTTTGATTCCACTATGGTTCTATGAATGTTCTTGTTGCTCATTACTTTAGCTTTGAATTCAGTTGATTAATTTTCTTTTCTTTTCTCAAATGTGATCCAAAAAACAATTTACTGTGTTTGTGTTGTGCTGCGTGTTGTTTGTCTAAGTGTTGTTGCCACACCTATACGTTAAGCCATGATTCGTATGTCGGTTTAGGTTTTTACATGGCTGTTCCCAATAAGGAGAAATATACATCGGCTGTCTGGGGGGAACCAGAGTGTTACCACAGCCTCCAGTGTTGTTTTCTAGAGCAGCCTTTCCCAAACTTTAAACTGCCGCGGCCCAGTTTAATTGAAAATTACAGCTCTTACTTTCAGTTAGGGTAAATTATTGGACATGACAAAATGATATTATGGCAAGATAGACACCAATGTTTACTGAACAATATGTCCATGAATAGTCATGACACGCCTTATTAATCACTTGAAGGGTAGACTCATGGTAAGTCATCATTATTGTGATATTTATTTTATTTTTATACTTGGTAGAGGGCTTTTCGCGGCCCACATGCAGTACCAACACGGCCCACCAGGGGGCCCACACTTTGGGAAGCACTGTTTTTGCGCTACTGAAACATCTCAGCCCGTACTATTCTGAAAGGTGCTGGTGTTGCTGCTCCAGGTAACAAATCATATACTAGAAGGGGTGGGATTTGTCTGCTGGTAACGTTTTGGTACCGAAACTTTACCTACCGGTATGTATTTATTACATTTTTTAGACAGAGTGCAAAGGTTTAACTTCTACGCACCTGTCTTACTATATAGCTGTAGTTTTATATTTATTTTATTTTTATTTTTTTTAATTTATTTTTGGCCATTTTGCCTTTAACGGATAGGACAACTGAAGAGAAGTTGGAAATGCTGGAAGGGCCGAGGTTGGGCTTGAACCTGTGGCCGCAGCGACAGCGTTGAGGACTTTAATTGTACATTTTTTTAAAGCTTTGGCACTTTTCCATGCTATCGTTCATGGAGCGCAACAGTGTGGTATCGGAAGTAAAAATCCTGTTCATTTTCTCCATAGCAGATCTGATTATTAGCCATAATGTCATGATCATCTAAGGTAGATTGACCATGAGCTAAAGAATGATGGCATATGCTCCAATAGAAGACACAAGTTTGTATGACATCAACCATGTTATTTGCGATCTAGTGGAAAAGAATTACACAGAGTTACCGAGTCCTTGAGTGTCACAACATTATTATAAATATAAACGCAAAAATACAAAATGATTATCAATAACATAAATACTACAATAAAGAAGGTAGAGGAAGGTCTGTGTACGTTCAGAAAGAACGTGCGCTAAACTTAAATTTTTTGGATATCCTTGGATCTTCAATGGATTGTGTGATGCGCGTATTGCTTTCACTATTGGAAAAAGTCATACACACAGTCTTGTACATTTGCCTTTTTATCCATTTTCAAATTGTTTTGCGCAATATCAAATGTTTTATATAATGTATTGAGATAAGGATTTTATGAAACGTCAATGGAGGATTTGAGTGGTGAAATGCACTACCGTAAGCAGAGCCACTGTAAAATTGAGTGGTCAATGTTGAGCTCTATTAAAATAACAGAGAATATATCGTTTTAAAGTGGAATCGAAAATATAAATCTGGAAGAAAAAATAAATTGACAACCTTACTCAAAGGAAGTTGTGTTTTCAGGCAACCATCGTTTTCCCCAAATAATGTTTATTTTTGGCTATTTAAATATGTTTTTGTGTTTAAAATTGATGGCTTAAAAACAGTGCATACTTCCTTATAGGGAAAATATAATATCATTGGAGGAGGAACACCCCCCCCCCCCCTTTAGGCTGGGCCCCCCTTTATTTACTACTTTGAGCTACGCCCCTGCTGTGTTTGAGGCAACATTACCAACTATTGAGACCTCACCAAAGTTGAATAGAAATCCTTTTTACAGTCTCTAAACGAGTGTGCGGCTCACCTGCATTGCCATCACTCAGTTTCTCCACGTTTTCAGTTACTGTCTCTCTCGAACTGATTTTATAATCTTGCTGAATTAATCCCATCAATTTCCGAAAACCCCCGCTCTCCACCAAGCTGATGGGGAGCATGTCTTTGGCTATCATCTCGGAGATGAGGTCTGTTGTTTGCTGTTCACGTTGTTGAACATCAAAGTTAGTTTTTACGGTGTCAAAGGTCGCCTCTGATGTCTGCTCCTCGGACGGAGCTCCTGCAGGGTGCCTCGCTTTCAGATGTCTGTGCATACTTGTTGTAGACATGTGATACTGAAGAGTTGTCTCACAAAGTTTGCACCTGACTTCATTTGCGTTTAGTTCGAAGAACTTCCACACGGAACTCCTAAACCACCGCTGAGATTTAGTCCTTGGTCTCATTTCTGAACGTCAGGGCTTCCCAGGTTTAACTAGTGTTGTTATCGGACTACTGAGTCCTATTCTCATTTGGCGCTGTTATCCAGCACTTCCTGTGTTGACGTAACGGCGGAAGTTCTCCTCTACCTCCGTCACAAGATTCATAAAAATATTTAAAACAACTTTTAAAATGTTTAAATAAATACTTTAAAATATAAAATACTTTTAAAACTGTATTCGGTGAACAACCTGATGTTCAATGAATTGCATGTTTCTAAAATATATTATTACAGATATTATAAATCTGTACGATATATAGAGATATTTATTTTTATTTTACGTCTATATCTTGATTTGAAAATTATTTTACATTTTAGTATTAATTTCGTTTATGTACATATCAATATTTAATTTGACATTTTTTGAACAGCTCTCATGTATTGTTTAGTTACTGTTTGACTTAAAGTACAAAAACCTATTAAAATAGAAAAAAAACATAATAATGTAGATTTTTGAGAGTGGTAGGACAAACAGCTCTGTTAAAAAAATATATATATATTTTCTGGTTCTACTATAGGTTTGTATTTTAATAAAAATAAAATAATAGGAAAGTTAAATAATAAACAATATTTCTCCTAACTTCTCAACTTCCAAATACAATAAATTAGTGGAGGTAGAGGTCAGATGTGGTTAGGGATGCTGAGAGAACTTGTTCTACAGGTGCTTCCCAGAAATACTGTGGAAAAGTTCTTTTTTTTCCCATAATTTGATAAACAAAAGCGAAACTTCAGATGTGTATTCTTGGTTTTATATATATTATATCTCAAGTATTTTTGTTAGTCTTGATCTTGATCATTTCAGCTTATTGTCATGAAAGTCACAAATCCAGTATTTGAAATTTTAGAATATTACACAAGACCAATCAAACATTTATAATACAGAAATATCAACCTTCTGAAAACTATGTTCATATATGTACTTAATATTGGTCTGGGCTCCTTTTTCATGAATAACTGCATCAATGTTGTGTGGAGGCCGTTGGCCTGTGGCACTGCTGAGGTCATATGGAAGTCCAGGTTGTGGCCTCAGCTCGTCTGGATTGTTGTTTCTGTCATCTTGACAATACCCCATAGGTTCTCTTCACTATACATGTAATGAATCTCAAATATATGAAAGTTTCACTTTTTGAATTAATTTACAGATAAAAATGAACTTTTCTACAATATTTACATTTTTTAAATTTTAAGATGCACCCGTATATTATGATAATGTCATACTATGTGATGAACAAATCACATACAAGACAAAAACTACAGCAGGGCACTAATAATATTTGCACACTGTAATTGTCTAAAGAATTTGCTTTTATCTCTGATTATTTAATCCAAGTAAAGACAAATCTGAAGATGTAAACTTCATGTATTGTAAGGTTTCATTCATGGATTTCAGTGAATTTACTGTGAAAATCTCCATCAGATGAGAATAAATAATTTTTGGGCTCACTCATGAATCTGTGGTGTAGATCCGATCGCCCCTCCTGGACTGCGTGGATCCTTGTTTCTTTATTGTTTGCAGGAACATCGAGGCTTACGGAGGAACCAGAACTGCAGGTTCTGTCTTCCATCGCTGATGCCGTAGTGCTCTCTGAGTTCATCTTGTTCAAACTGATATCTATGCTATCTTTGTCTTCACAGTCCTCGGACATCGAGAGTCTGACTGAGTCTCTGTTGTTTGCGGCGTTTCTGCCATTCTTTGTGCGGGTCATTATGGCGTCCACCTCGTTGTAGAACCTCATGATGCGTCTCGGGTCAGTTTCCTTGGTCATTCCCCTCTGGAGCGAGCGGTAGAGGTACTTCAGGTTTTTGTACTTGGTGTGACACTGCTTCCAGTCGCGCTCGATTCCCTGCTGCAGCAGCCTGTTGGAGATCTGGACGAAGATGTCTCTCTTTCTGGTCGAGCTCTCCAGCTGTCTGCACACACGCTCATCAGACCAGACTTGAACCAGCGCTCGCACCTCCTGCTCGCTCCAGTTCCGACCTGTGTCCGGTACGGTGACCACGTGGAACTGATCCGGTTGATCTGTGAGTGAAAGATGGGCATCTGAACGGGAGAATAAAAGGAAAGGTCATGATTATAAGCTATAATATCTTCAGACAATGATAACAACATTTTTGGATATCACACATCTTAAATTAATCTTTTGTTTTATTTAAAGGAGGGGGCTGTGATCATTTTGGGTCTATGAAAATTTCTGGGTTGTCAATCTACCAGAACTTCGATACAATTCTAGTAAAAATAAAACATCATTGATACTTTTTTCGCTACCATAGCAACAAAAATTGAAAGTCCTAGGAACCCAATATTGGATAATTTCTGTTTTTTAATTAGCAAAATGCAAGCAAACTCCTACACATTGTCTGCACGTTACCAATGCAGTTAAGAAAATGTGCCGGAGTTTATTTTTTTATTATTATTTTTTAAGCCTCAATTGTCGAGATAGGACAGCAGACAGTGCCCGACACGACGTGGCAAGAAAGCCACGTGTCCGATTCAAACCTGGGCCATCGCCCTGACGACTGCAGCTTCTGTACATGGGGCATGCGAACCAACGACCAAGCCACCGGCGCCCCGTGTGTGTAGCAGTTTGCTCACAAATGTAAGAGATTGATTCCTCTTCTACGCACGTGTCTTTGGAAATAAAGTTATAAAGTTTTTTTTTAAGTTTTGGTACTTTTCAGTACTATCGATTAAAGTATCAAGAATTGTGAGGACCTCATCTATATAACATGATTAAAATACGGGCGACGTAGACGTGTAGCTGCGATTTAAAATCTAATTTTGAACATAAGTGGCAGGACAAAATATCAATATGGTAATATATCGTCATCTTCACACTTGTGATTAAATAATCAAATTGCTGGTGCCAAATGTAGATATTTTAACACCAGTTAGTGACTCATAGTGTCACTACTTCATGACTCCTCATGGTGGCGCTCGTGACATGAAATAATTGAGGTTAACTTGAACTGAAGTTTGGCCGTGAAGAAGAAGAAGACAACGTGATATTGCAGAGGTGTATAAATATCCTGCACTTTATTTTGTACTTTGTAGGGCCATTTGACATTCTTCAGTTAATCAGTTATCATGATGTCTCAATATATGATTATCTTGCAATTATCACAGAATCGCTTTATCATGATCTTATTGTAATCATGGGCCTCATCTCTCATATATTATCTTGAGTTGTGATTCCCACTCTTTTCGGAAAGAAAGATGATGGTTTCATACTGTTTTTATGATAATCTATCATACATGTATGTATCGTTACATGTGTATATATTGATCAAGCATACCTGTTCTTTTCCACCTTGCTTCTATGTCTCCGGTCATATCATAATCATTGCTGTCTGTAAAGAAAGTAGAAGTTTAAAGATCAATTCTGCCGACTTTGAATAGAAAACTACTCAAATTCCTGCAGACTGAAAACTTACCATCGTCGATTTCAATGACGACCTCGCTCTCTGACCCCGGCGTTTGCAGCCTCTGTGCTCCTGTTTCTCCATCGTACAGCCTCCTCTGCATCTCCATCGTCCCGTCCTCCAGCCCGCGGCCCATCAGGATGGCGTCCACCTCATCGAAGAACTTCATGTATTTCCCCGGCCCTCCCGAGCCGCTTCCCGCTGCGGCGTGAGCACTCTTGGCCGTCTTGTGGTCGTACTTCAGGTTCTTGTACTTAGTCCGACATTGTTTCCAGTTTCTCACCACGCCAAAGTTCCTCTGCATCTGAAAGGCCATCTCCTGGAAGATGCACTTGTTGCGCAGCGTGCTCTTCAGGCGTTCTCGAATTCGGCGGTCAGCCCAGACGCACAGCAAAGCTCGGACCTCGTCATCTGTCCAGTGGCGGCCGCCCTCCTCGGCCACAGTTGGGGTGTAAGAAAGAGCTCGCTGGATTTGAGTCCGGAGGCCTGCGAGCACATAAACATACTCGTCAGTAAGAGATGTTTAAATCTAATCTGACTTTAGGCTATCCTTTAATCAGTGCTAACATGCTTGTTTATCTTCTCTTTGTAAGCCAAAGAATGTCTAAAGCTCAGAGAATAATGCTGAGCTAATGTTAGTGGCAGCTCAGCATGCAGCCCCCCTGACAACCCATCAGAAGACACGGATATCTACCTAAAACAGATTTGTTTAGCATCTATTTATTTTCCAGAGGAGAGGACCTTTTTAGACTAGTTCGGCTCCCGTTAAAAGTATCACAACATAAGAAAAATCCTCACCTAAAAACAACCTGAGCTCAAGAGAGATTGCGCAGCCCCCGACAACCGCTGTATGCTGAAGAGCATCAGAAAACACAGATTTTTTTAACGACCTGAAACGGCTTTATCTTGTGTTTTTTACTGGTTAGAACGTGCAAGCCTGATTGTTTCAAGAGGAGCAGACCTGATGAAATCTCCCCAACAAACAACCCGACCTCCTGGCTAAATGCTACGCCAATGTCAGTGCAGCTCAGCTTGCAGTCCGCCCGCGAAAGGGAGCTGTATGAAGCTGTTTACTTCAGTGTATTACTGGGTTTCATTGTGTTTTTAAAGCCCTGCTGCTTTCTTTATTCTAACTTCCTACTATTGTGCATTTTTTTTCTAAAATTGAATTAATTCTCCATCTTGCTTTTTTCAGCTGGATGTCGTCATCAGGATGCGTCTTAAACGGCAAAATGATCAAAAAAGTATTGATAAATGTTGATATTTATCAATTTTAAAAAATGCTAAAATGTTTTTTTTGTTGCATGATGTCAAATGTTGTCCTTGAACCTTCATTTACCTTCCTGCATGGGGATAGGGCCTGAGGAAGGGTAGATCCTTCTTTGAGTCCCCTCATCCTCCTCTTCCTCCCAGCCCTCCTCCAGCCTGTCTTCCTCCTCCTCTTCTTCTTCTGCGCTGTAATTTGCTGCTGCTGCGTCACACTTCCTGCTCTGCAGCCCCAGGCTCCTGCATTGGGCCTGACACTCCCACCAGCTGCGCACAATGCTGAGCCTCCTCAGACGCTCTGAGATCAGCTCGAACGTGCTCCTGCTCTCGGCGACGTGCTGAGCGCCCACCTCGTCCCACACTGACATGAGAGCGAGCACCTCGGCCTCCCCCCATGGCCTCTCCACCGAGCCTTTGTCCTCCACCACCTCCCTGCCTGCTCTTTGTCTCTCTGCTGCTCCCTCCATGTCTGAGCTGACCTGGAAACGCTTTCTTTTCCCCAATCCGCCTGTCTCTGCTGCCCGGTTCCCTAGGCAACCAGGCGGCTAAGCCTGAAAGCAACGCCTCCATGCAGAAAAGCAGCCTCACCACTGGCTTAAGCTGTGTGCAGAGGGGGGCGGGGCCAGTTGTAATCTGAGAAGCAGCTTGATGAAAAGGCTGAAGCTGCAGCAAGACGACTCCCTGTGTACGGCTGCTCCACAGCAGACATGTTTCTGTTTTTTTAACCCCCCGACTCCTCCTTTTCATCACCTGAATAAAAGCAGTCTGCTTTGCCTCCAGGCTCATGTCGAGTCTCACATCTGAACAAGTCAACTCATGTTTACTCCTGCAGGAAACAAACTCAAGATGTCATTCCTTTAAATCCTCACAGCTATATTCTCGTCTGTGTGTTTGTCTGCTCAGGGGTCAGGAGAGCGCCGGGATGGTCCTGAGTAATGGAGCCAGCCCCCCTACATACACAGCCCACAAGGTAGCACTCATCATAATGTTCAGTTAAGCTGCTTTTCTTTAAAGCTGCACCATTTATATATACAAAAAAAAAGAAGCTTGCATCATTACGCACAAATAACACAGCTTTTTGTCACTCGCAACACACTGGTTTATTTTGTATAACAGCAGAACGTTTACCGCTTTGAGAGAGAGGAAAGGTTAGAGTGAGCGCGATGACCTTTGACTGAAAACACTCAGATCTGTTTCTGCACACAGCCTGATAACTGGACCAAATCCAGGCGCTAGACACCATATTTGTTGGAAAGAAAAAAAACAAAAATAGCAACAACAACGCCCTCTTATTTAGCTCGTCCAGAAAATGATGAGTTATACAGTGATGTAGTTATCAGAAGAGTCAACAGACTATCTGTTCTGTGTGAGAAACAAAACCTGTAACAGTTACACGGCACCTCATGACGGCTGCACACACACTCTCATTAAAATGATTGAACTTTTTTCAACTCATTTTTGGTTCTTATCAGTTAAAAATATGATTACGATTCCAAGTCAGAAGGGAATTTTTTTTATTATTTATGTTAAATATTGTCACTTACAATAAAGAAAAAAAGATGTGGTTTTAACAACAGCCCACAAATGTACAGGAGAGGAGAATCATATACAGTATATCATATACATGGTTCCTTATACAATACATTTCAAAAGAAGGGATGAAAACAGCAGACTAAAGGGGCAAACAAAGATTGAATCGTTTATTTCCCCTGGATTACCACAACACAGAAAGTATACAAATAAGTAAAAAATAATGGCAATGAGGGGGGCAAAGAAAATAAATATTATTATTTAACAAATTGATCATAAGTAACATCCATGAGTTTTATTCTTCTTTAGGTAACATGACTTAATTTAATGTTTTCAAGCTGAAAAAAGGGAGGGGGTGACAAAACTGTTCAACATATAAAATCACAGACTTCTTGTAGGATCCTGATGTGTAACCTTTAAGTGTATCTGTAAATATCTTTTTTTTTTCTTTTTTTAGGGGATGGGGTTAGTGAGCACAGCGTTCCCTGCCGAGGCGCTCCAGAAGCTGCGTTACGGTAACCTTGGTATTTGTCACACTCGATATTCAACCACCGGACACTCTGAGCTGCAGAACTGCCAGCCGTTTGTGGTGGACACTCTGCACGGGAAGATAGCTGTGGCACACAATGGAGAGCTGGTCAACGCTCAACGCCTGAGGAAGAAGGTGAGCGAGAACCTGGAGCATGTCAGGAGACGAGTACTCTCTGATGGATCTGATATGAATGTCTACTGACATACAGAACACATGAAACATGAAAGGGAATAGTCTGGGTTTTTAAGCTCTTAGTGTTATTCTATAAAGGTGATTACCTTTCTGACAAAGAACTGCGTGACATTCATTAAAAAGTCTGAAAAGAAGGAAATAAATGTGTTATAAAAACAATGTGATCACATTTATAAAACGTGAAAATAAAAGAATAGAAAAGTAAATTATGAAGGAGATTCAAATATGAATAAAGTCAATATAAATCAAGGGGAAACTTCAAAAATTGGCAAATTCCAGTTTAGAAATATAAAGTAATACATGATCTTAGTTCTGAGCCTTTTCATATATTTTACTAATCCTTTCTTTCTTCTGGATAGATTTGTATCTAAATATTTACATGTAGAAAACTGTTTTGAAAAATCATTTTGTTATTATATATTTTTGATCTTTTAAGTTTATAAAAACTTTTTTCATTTTTCCCTCTAAATGTTCTTTTTAAATTTTGTGTAATTTCATTAAGGCTGTAAAAACCGGCCGGCCAGTTTAATGATCGCTAGTTTAGCAAAGGAAAAAAATCAAGGAATATTAAAAGATAACGAACAAAAATATTCCAAATATATTGACAAAAAATAGAACAATTTAAGGTGCATACATTAAAGAAGTATATGCATTTCAAAATATATTTATGAAGAGTAAAGAAGAAAAGAGAAATGTATGTGAAAATGAACTTCCTGCTTCCTTATACAGTTTATATTCTGTTTCTTTACTCTTTCACATTTTTTAAACTCACTTGACTTTTTGTTTGTTTTTAATTTAATTGTTTCATATTTTTGGATTGACTCCTTAAAAAAACCACCTCTTCACTTATCAGCATCACTGATTTGAAAATGTGCAGGTGATGCGTCATGGAGTGGGCCTCTCCACCGGCTCAGACAGTGAACTCATCACTCAGCTGCTCGCTCTGACCCCCCCCATGGAGGAGCTGGACGCACCGGACTGGGTCGCCAGGTCAGCTCTGTGACTCCCTGCTGCATGAAATATGAACACTTTTCTCTACACATTTTAATTCCCACTTATTTGTGTGTGTGTTTAGAATAAAGAATCTGATGACTGAGACCCCCACCTCGTACTCTCTACTGGTGATGTATAAAGACGTGGTCTACGCGGTGAGAGACCCTTATGGAAACCGTCCCCTCTGCATTGGACAGCTGGTTCCCGTCTCTAAACTGCACAGCTCCGGTTTGTTTGACCTGAAAACATCTACATGTCTGATAAAGAGAGATCATCATCCTCTGATTCACTTTGTGTCTCTTTTGTTTCAGGTTCAGGAGAGGAGGATGCAGAGGGCTGGGTGGTCTCTTCAGAGTCCTGCAGCTTCCAGTCCATCGGTGCAAAGTCAGTTTTTAACCACCAATCAAAAATATCTGCAGCAGTTTATTATTGAAGCATTTAGTGAAATGATCATTTCCATGTCCCTCCATGTGTATTCAGGTATTACAGAGAGGTCTTACCTGGAGAAATAGTCCAGATATCCAAACACGGGGTGAAGACTCTGAGTATCGTCCCTCGCCCTGAAGGAGACCCCCCCGCCTTCTGCATCTTTGAATATGTTTACTTTGCCAGACCAGACTCTATTTTTGAAGGTTTGCATTTTTTATTATAGATCATTGGCAGGTATTTCTAACCCATGACCCTGATTTATTTTAATTTTGGGTGGTGAATGACTTGCACATCACTTCAGGGTCAGCAGCAGAATAGGCTGTGATGGCTGCAAAGGCAGTCTATCAGGTGCATCACCTGGAAGTTCTTATTTTCCCACTGACACTCAGATTGTTATTCTTAGATGTCACAACATTACAGAAATTCCTTTTTTGTAAAAGTTTCATTCATGTTTTTTTTTCCACCAGAGCAGCCCATAACTTCGCTCTTTTGAAAGCCACCAGGCTTCATTTACAAAAAGTGATTTTTACCTTGTAGAATATTGTAGTTGCTGGTCTACCCACACCTTGATCTATTTGTTAGTTTTTGTTGAGGTGTGATTCTACTTTTTTTTTTTTTACACAAATGAGCACAAAAGGAAACACACTGTCAGCAGTAGATCATCCACTCTTCATGTATGGGGGGAATAAACTGGAATCTGGCTGGTTGGTCTTTCTCTTGAACAAACGGGTCCATCTCTGTAGGGATCCTTTCTCTAATCCTGTCCCACACTTATAATAACAATAACAATGTAAAAACATGATCCTTCAATGGACTTGGTCTGTACAGGTGAATTTTTAGGAAAGATTATGTTGATGCCATAACAGCCTGTTTAAGGCTGCTTGTTTGAACAAATCCACTTTAGCAATTCCAAACTTTTTGTACCTTACGTAGAAAACTTTATTAATCCCAAAGGACTGTTTGTTTCCACAGTTCACCCAGAGCCTATGTACAAACAGACTCAACATATCACATCTGGCGCAGTCTAGGCCTGTTAAGTCTGTTTCATCATGAGCCGGGGATCCAGCTGAAGATTTCTGCCTTTTAATAAGGCAGTTTTTTTTTTCTTTTTGCTGCTTTGCTAAAGTGCTCATGATGGATAGGCCGGGTCTTTGTAACATAACAATGAGTAAGATCTTTTACCTGCTTTTTGTAACATAACAATGAGTAAGGTCTTTTACCTGCTTTTTGTAACATAACAATAAGTGAGTCTTTTACCTGCTTTTTGTAACATAACAATAAGTAAGGTCTTTTACCTGCTTTTTGTAAAGTGTCTCGAGACAACACTTGTTATAAGTTGACACTATACAAATAAAAATTGATTGATTGATCAGTACTTACCAGAGATGTGCGCTGGGACTCTGACACCCTCGTGTGGCCTCTTTCAGTAATGACACCTATCAGTCATTTAGACACTAAAATATAAAGAGCTGAGGTTCAAACACACAGAATTTCCTTGAACATATTTGAGGTTATTGTTTAACAAAGTGAAAGTTTGCTGTAAACTCAGACTCGTCTCTTCCTCTGTCATGCAGGTCAGATGGTGTATACTGTCCGGCAGCGCTGTGGTCGGCAGTTAGCCATCGAGGCTCCGACAGACGCAGACGTGGTCAGCACTGTGCCTGAGTCGGCCACTCCCGCTGCTCTGGGTTACGCTCAGCAGGTCAGTCTGATTCAATGTGATACACACTGTCCTCCTGGTGGACCTCTGTTCTCACAAGCTGTTTCCCCTTCTTCCTCCTACAGTCGGTCTGCCATACATAGAGGTTCTGTGTAAGAACCGCTACGTTGGGAGAACGTTTATTCAACCCAACACCCGCCTGAGGCAGCTGGGAGTCGCCAAGAAGTTCGGAGCTTTGACCGACAACTTTGCAGGGAAACGAGTGGTGCTGGTCGACGACTCCATCGTCAGAGGGAACACCATCGCCCCGATCATCAAACTACTGAAGGAGGCTGGAGCAACCGAGGTTTGTTGACATATACTCTGTTATCACATACTGTTGATTTTCACCACGGTCAGCTACTGTCATATTACTCTAACATTGTTTAAGCAACAACTAGGACAAAGGAACAGACTTAGAAGGTAAAATATTGACTCTTTTTTTTCTTAACAGGTCCATATCAGGGTCGCCTCTCCCCCTATCAGGTTCCCGTGCTACATGGGCATCAATATTCCAACTAAAGAGGAGCTCATCGCCAACAAGCCTGAGTTTCAGGAAATTGCTAGACACATAGGCAAGTTCATCTCACTGACAAAACAAATACATGTGTTGTAAAACTTCAATTAATAGTCTGGGCTTTTATCTTCTCCAGTCTGTAAAATGACCTTTGAGACCCTCTTGTTGATTGTTTTGATCCTCAAACTAATTAACACTTAATGCATAGTGGCCTTTAATTGATCAAACGTGCAGCAACACCAGGCTTAAAAAAAAAGAAAAGGGAATGAGCCTTGAATTGGGATGGGCTTCGGTTTTACGGTAGGAACAAAAAATGACATTTGAAGGACAATATTAGATTTGTTTTCACAATTTGGGTTTCTTTTAGGAATGCATCTGACTGAATTACACGGAAAAAACGTTTAGTTTGCAAACTACAGGCTAAGATTTTTATTGAAATATGCTTTTCAAAACCATAGTAAAGACTAATATTACATTGATCAGTGAGGTTATTTGCATTATTGTTTTGTGTTGGATGAGAAACATCAAAGTCACACAATTCAAACAGACTCATGAAACATGGGCAGGTGTTGACGATTATCTCGTGTTTAATACTTTATTCTACCTTGCAAACACAAGTTTCTTTTGGAAAATAAAGTCTGGTGGATTTCAAGAGAGCGATGGAACAGCTGATCCAGTTTTTAATTTTTTGTTGTTTTTAAGAAGTCTTGTTTCTGTGATGTTGTCGGAGACTTTTGCAACAATCATCTGCACCCAAAAATGTGGGTCTGTTTGATTCACAAGTGATAAAACAAGTTCATCTGTCTTTTAGGAGCTGACAGTGTTCAGTATCTGACCGTGGAGGGTCTGCTGTCAGCTGTGCAGCAGGGGATCAGCTCCATGCAGGAGAAGGACAAGATGATCAGCTCTAGGAACACATCGGGCAAGAGGGTGGGACACTGCACCGCCTGTCTGACCGGGAAGTACCCCATAGAGCTGGAGTGGTAACTGATTTAAAATGAGCAGTGATAGTCACTGCAGGAGCCCTGTGGATTTAATGCCACAGCTGATGTGAATAATGTGTTTCAGTAGAGGAGGAGCACAGGTCAGGCATTTCAGTCAGTCTGGGAAACTAAAACTATTCTTCAGTGTTATCATGATCTGACCACTGGTGTAGAAATCTGCTGTTTACAGGTGTTTGTTTGGGACCACACAACTCTGATGCTGTTTTTGTTGTAAATGTAACCTTTAAACTACTTTGATGATTGTTGGCCTGGATGTACCTGAGCATTAGTTTACCTTGTCAGAAAGTCGCACCAGGCTAGAGACCAAAAACTCTTATTTTCTTTTGTCACTTCTACTTTTCTACCTTTTTTCTCTGTTGTTTTGGATCTGACTGTTGCATATTTAGTTTTATTTTTGACTCTGAACATCACATGAATGTCAAAAAAGGTTAATAAAAATTGCAAAAAGAACAAAAGTGCTTCATTTGAATACTTAATATTTATTTTGAATTAATATAAAAAAAGAAACATGAAGCTGTATTTAACACCACAGCATGAACAGTCAAATGTGTTAGGAGACAATAACATGAATTACAACATGAATGTCAAAAAACAAAGCTCACTAAAAATTGCAAAAAGAACAAAAGTGCTTCATTTGAATACTTAATATTTATTTTGAATTAATATAAAAAAAGAAACATGAAGCTGTATTTAACACCACAGCATGAACAGTCAAATGTGTTAGGAGACAATAACATGAATTACAACGAGTGGAAACAAAGCTCACTTAACCATCAGTCACACAGGAACAGTTAGAAGGGACAGATGTGTACGAACAGTTTCCTGAGCTCACTCTACACCAGCTGAGGGAGATAAATGTTACCAGTGACGCGCCTCAGCAACACAACACGCCCATCTTTGTTTTCCACTTGGATTAGATCCTCTCTTGATCACCACCATTTTCTGCATGTTGGAGGAAAAACAAGACGAGAACTCAGGTACACAAGAAACAACCGTTACAGGATGGTATTGTAGCATTTCCACCTGAGAGATGCTGCATGGACTGTTCATAAAAGTAGGTTTGGCCTCTGACATTATTACTACTTCATTTACTGATAAATGTACCACGGGTATCTTTTGGCTACTTGTCTTCACTAACCCTGACAGATTAAACACCATACAGTGTTTGCTGGACTCTCTCCCTCCACCTTCACGATCAGCTCGTACTCCTCCACCATAAAGACAACTGATTGGTTAGTAGATGGAGAATTATTCAGGTTGAGCTCTTCTTCAGAGTCAGGTGTTAGGCAAACCGAAAAAAACCCTGCTCCATCAAACCCCAGGTCTCCTTGAAAAGTCTTTAAACCGAGCCTGATTTAGACATTAGTTTGCAGATATTATGGGCTGAAATGTGCACATCAGATATCAATGTCTGCAGATATAAAACATTTCCCAGAATATGAACAAAATGAAATATCTGCATATATAGAAGAGAAAAAAAACAATCCTCAAACATCAGTTCACTAGGTAACTGCTCGTTGGCCTGCTTCAATGCTATAGAAGAAAAAAACCTTCTGCCTTACACTTTTAAATGTTTAAAAAACAGTTTTAAAGAAAGTTATGTTAGTGATGTTTTATTTCAGAGAGAATAAGAAAGTAGTAGATGATGTGCAGAGTGCACAGATGATGTTCAAACTGCTTTTTAGATCTTAGTCTCCTCCACATGATGCTGCTCACTACGTGTTTTAATCACTTTGGAATGTGAACTTTTATTTGATCTTGGTGTTTATTTGTATATTTATTTATGCTGATAAGGATGTTTAAAATAAAGTAGAGACTTTGATCACACTAGTTTAACAAAATGTTTAGTACTGTCAGCAGACCAGCTTTTTTTATACTTCTTATTTGTTATGGATTATTTACATCTGAAATAGTTTTGTTCTTCTTTGCAGAAAAGCTAAAAATATGATGAAAATGAAATCTTTAAACTGACCTGGGGGAGCCACTGGCAGCATTCCTCTCAAATGAACTTCCTGTTGAATGAAGCACAATAATAAAGGAAATGCTCCACACTTCCACATAAAAACTTCTTGATAAAGAATTAAATGACAGAGTTTATAGAGGAGGCTCACCGTATCCTGAGAACTCAGCTGCAGACGGGCGACGGCTGTGACTCATCCAGCCTTCTTCCTGATGATGATGCTCGGCTGGTCGCTGCTGGCTGTGTTTACCGGGACTGTAAGTGCGGCCGTCATGACGCTGCTCGGATTCAAACGTGGAGAAACGGCGCCTCAGCAACTCTGTCCTGTGTCGTTTGGACCCGGGGGAGGACGGGCAGTACTCGTCCCTCAGACGTTTGGACTGCGGGAAGCTGTCCCAGTTCAACTCCCTGTGGCGTTTCCTCAGGACAGAGCGGTGCGGCGACAGAGCGAGGGCGGCGAGGGCCAAGGAGGAGTGGCATCTGCTCCCCTCAGAGCTGCGAGCGCAGAACCTACAGGGCGGCCCTTTGAAGAAAGAGGATTGATTTTGGCAGACAAACTTGTGGTACAGTTTTATAAAGACCTCGTCCAGCTTCTTCGGGTTTTGGGCGGGCGGCGGGAAGGAGTCGAAGGAAAGGTGGCGCCGAGACTCTGCTGAGGCCGAGCGAGGTGACGCCGGCTGTGCCTGGAAGGAAGGACCAGAGTCCTGAGAGCAGAACATCCTGGGTGGCAGAGCTGCTCTATGTTGAGGGGAGGACAGAGAGGTAAACACTGGTCTGGGCCTCATCAGCTCTCTAGGACAGCTCTCCACAGAAACAGCTCTCGGGCTCCTGCAGAAGGCACTCGGAGATCCACTGAGGCTGCTCATCATCCGGGATTTCAACGGACTCTGCCTGACTGGAGAGCCATAAATGTCCGGCCTCTCTTTAGCAGCTGTGCTTTGTGATGCATACAAGAGGTACCCGTCAGTCTGCAGCTGATGAGCAGCGTTGGAGAGCCTTTTGGACCTGAGGGAGAAATCTGAGGGGGCTTTTGGGGAAGGAAAAGAAAGTTTGGAAGGACTGGCGGGATATGCTGAGAGCGGCTCTCCACTCCGGGATTCATCAAGAGACACAGTGAAGGTCTGGTTCAGAGAAGTCTCTTTTTTATTAAAGCTTTCAAGGGGACAAGAGAGATCCATGACCAGGATGGGCTTCCTCGTCAGTAAGCTCCTCCCCCTCCCAGGTGACTGCTGCTGCTGTGCCTGCCACTCCGGTTCATCTGCAGAGAATTGCGAAGTGAATGTTCTGTATCCATGAAGTGCCTCTTCACCGGGCTCCCACAGTTCTCCTTGCTGCTCCTCCTTCTCTCTGTGTTGTTCTTGTGTTTCTTATTGACAGTGAACGTGTTGTCGAGATGCACGCTTCTGTTCGACCGACTCCTCCACCTGCGGTACCTCCTCAGCACAGAGTCCGCCGCCTCAGAGACGTGCTGCCGGCGCCAAGCACTCCCTATCTGGTTGATCATGCTGGGGTAGAGCTCGATCAGGCTGCCGTTTCTCCTCAGGGTCATCTCCAGCTGCTCGTCCTCGTCCTCCGGCTGCTGATCCGCCGCCTCACAGACGGTCCTCTGACTCTCGTCCAATGAGCTCACAGTCAGCTGAGTCGTGTCACTTCTACACATCCCCGCTGTAGAAACCTCACCTGAAATCAGACAAAAAAATAAAAAAAATTCTCTTCTGATTTTTTTAAATGGTCTGTCATGTGTGTTTAAAATGTTTCCTTTCTTACCGTCGTCCTCCACAGAAATATGAAGACTGGAAACTCCAGAAACTTTAGAAAAGCAGGTCTCATCAGCTCCACTGTTTTGATGCGTGAAGTCCAGCTGTTGAGATAAATCAAAATTAATTTACAGAGCTCCTCCATACTTTTTGATAGCACATGTTTTAAAATGCTACAATCTCCTTTCATTTTAATGATTGATAGTGTCGATAAATTTGAACAAAAAACTGACCTATTTCATAAAACATGAAGGTGCATAGGAGACCAACGAACCCATTCATTCAAAATCAAAAGAAAACTTTGGACATCGTCAAAAATCCACAAATTCATCGTCAATGTTTTGGTAGCAAAACGTTGCTAACCTCTTACCAGTGCTCTCTCTTACTTTTGCTCATATTGGGTAATTTCTCCCATTTTTAAAGTTCATTTTTTGGGGGAGGGCTTTTCATGCATTTATTTAGAGATAGGACAGTGGATAGAGTCAGACATTGGGGAGAAGGAATAGAGAGAGAGAGTGGGGACAGACATGCAGGAAAGGAGCCACAGGTTGGATTTGAACCTGGGCCGCCCGCTTGGAGGACTACAGTCTCCGCTCATGGGACGCGTGCACTAACCACTAGGCCTCTGATGCCTCGATTTCATGCTTTTAATCACCAAAAATTGCAGGTAAACTTCTCCACATTCGCAATTGCACAAATGCTTACAATGTATTTGTGCGAGACAGTGTTTTTATTTTAAATTAAGATGAATAAATGACCCTATATTGTTTGACGAGGGCTTGTAATGTTTGCAGTTGCATAGAAACATGTATTGACATAATTTGATTATTTCTAGAATCATTTTAGTTTTAACAGTGGAGTTGAAAAGAGAACATTTACCTGAGAGTCTGTTCTAATGTCCAGTGCTGTGGTGGAAAGAAAACCAGACAGATTAGATCAATTAACAAACTTTTAAATTAACATTTTCTTTCATCTGTTTTTCTCACCTCTCATTGATTCATCCCTCAACTCTGCCAGGCTCTGATGAGAGGAAAAGTCTTTGTTAATAATGTCTATGGCCGCACACATTATTCAACATCTGACTATTGGCCTGTGCTTTGTTTGTTTGAAATGTGGCTGCAGAATACAAACCTTTGACTCCAACATGTTCAGCTCTGCTTTAGACTTCTTCATGTAGCGTCGAAGTGCTTCATCATGCAGGTAGAGAAAACAGAACTCAATGAGATCACATGACAACACAATAAAACAACTCTCCCTCTGTCTGACACTAAATCTGACTTCTAGAGGGATTCAATCGAAAAAATCACTTGACAGTACTAGTGGTTTATTTCACATCCCATTAAGTTCAACTATACTACAGTAACAATCATTTATTTAACGTTAATAATTTACTTTACAACTATATGATGATCAGTATTGTTTCCATGGAAATATCAGTGTTATCAGTATCACCTCAGGAGAATTGTTTTTTTAAACAGAAACGAACAAATCTGACTTAAAGAGAAAAAGAGGAAGACCAACTACAAATGTCCACTCCTCCACAGACTTCAGGATCTCCATTACGGCCCTCTACAGCCAGATAGACCAAAAGAGAGGAGGAGGAGAGGACCCTTTCGCCCCCTGTGCTAAAAAAACATTCAACCTACAACATCCCAGCAGAGACAGAGTAGTGGAGGAAACCCCCATCTCCAAGAAACAATCACAGAACTCTATAAGACACATTTCAGCTCACAGCCAAATATACTGCACGTATGCTAGAGTATGAGGGACAAAAAATGACTAAAGTATAAATAAATAAATAAATGTTGGGAGAAATGCATACAATAGCGTATAAATAAAAAAATAATTAAATAAATGCATCAATAAATATATAAATAAATGCTGAAAACAATACATCAATGAATAAATAATAAATTTGCTTCTGTCTGTTTTTAAAAATTGACCAATCCTACTTCAGTAATGTTAGGACGGCCCACTTAATTTACATATTTACTTTTCCTTGTACAACATGGACACAGAAATACATATTAATTTTTACATGAATTGTTGCAATTATTTATATATATATATTATGTTGATGCATGTATTTATTTATATATTTCTTCATGCATGTATTTATTTATACATTTTTGTATGCATTTCTCCCAACATTTATTTATTTATATATTTATTGATGCACTTATTTATTTATTTATTTATGTATACATTATTGTATGCATTTCTCCCAACATTTATTTATTTATTTATACATTATTGTATGCATTTCTCCCAACATTTATTTATACATTATTGTATGCATTTCTCCCAACATTTATTTATTTATTTATACTTTAGTCATTTTTTGTGCTTCATACTAGTGGGCCCAGATAGTAAAAGAGTAACTACCATCATGCGGTGTGCATCATCTAATAAAAAAAAGAATATATTTCATGCACACTGGTAAAATGAATGGGTAAAGTATAACTCATGAAACTAATCAACTGCTTCGAATCAGTTTTATTTATGTAAGTTTGTTTCATTATGTTTTAAAGTGCTTTTAAAATGAATAAGGAACAATTTAAGTTCTTATTCATTAAACATCTGTTCCCATCAAAGCCAACCACAGTGTATAAAAACAGATAACCTTTGTGTGGTTGAAGTTCTTGGAGAATGTTTTATATTAATTTTAAACGTAAAGTCGCATCTTAGCATATTTTGTCAGAAACCTTTGAAGAGAATCGTAGTTAACTTACTTGTGTATTTTGTATTTTCCAGGTCCACCTCCATCCCCCCGTCGCAGTATTGAAGCTTTGAGTACTGTTGGAAACAATTGCAGAAGTTTTAAAAACAAAGTTTTCAAAGTTTATTTACAGCTAACAAAAGCTAGCTACTTAGCATCATGCTAACGTTAAAGCCTCATGAACACACCGTGTCTATGACTCGATCAGTGTCATTTTGTAGTTAAAGGCATTTTTGGAAAGTTGTTCCTTTAAAATGTCATCCATGTTCCGAACAAAAGTTTATTCTTGAAGGTAAAAGAACAACTATAAAAACCAACGGGTTATTTCTACTAACTACACTGAAAGGCGCGTTTACGTTCAAAAGTCTATAGAATAATGGAGGCAGATGATTGGACAGGGAGCGTGTGTTGCCTTCAGGACTCATCGGAAATCATCCTTACCAAAACGGTTCAATGAAAGATGTTAATTTCAAATGAAAATATTCCGTAATAAAAAATATATGTTAGCAGGGTAATACATGCGCGTCAGTAGTATAGTTGGGGATGTGTTCAATGCAAAGTTAATACAACAACGTTTACGATATAACATTTATTTGACTGATGTCAGATTTCTGAAACGGAAAAGACCGATGAAAACAGAAGCAAGTGAAGCAGACACAAGTGAAGGCGGTTGTCTGAAACGTCATCTTAAAGCGACAGACAGTTTCTAAGATGGTCTGTGTGGATAACAACATACCCTTGTTTTCAGTAGTTCTGTTCACGAATTGAAATGTGATTTGTAAGAATTCATTTAGAGTGAGTACTAAATGTAAATGAACCGACAGTCAGTAACGTCTCATCGGTATGGCCGCTCGGACCCTACAGGAGCTTGTATCCTCCGCCGCCTCTCTGCACCCTGACCGGGCAGCTGTGACGTATGACAGCGGGTCAGTGTCAGGGAACCCGGTGTCCCTGCGGTACAGAGAGCTGGACGAACTAACAGCTGAGCTGTGTGATGCTCTGCGGAGGAGCTGCTCTGATAATAACGGTGTGATTGGGCTGTACTGTTGTGATGATCTGTACATACCTGTGTGGGTTCTGGGGTGAGTGTTTTATCAGTCCCAAAGTTAACTTCCTCCTGTTGAAACACAGCATATCGAGGATAATAAAGTGTCCCTTGTTGTCTGCAGGATCCTGCAGTCCTCTGCTGCCTTTGTCCCCCTGGACCCTGAGGCTCCAGGACTCCTCTCTGCCAGAGTCATGAACCAGTGTGGGCTCAAGTACTGTGCTGTGAACACTGACATGCTGCAGGTGGAATACTTCATTAAATATCAGTGACACACTTTGGAATGAGTAGAGATAGAAATGTATTCATTACAAGAAAATGGTATTGCCACATTAGGGCGATATGGTCCACAAATCACATCTCAATAAACACAGCTGTGTATTCAGTATACACATTGTTTTTTGGAGATTTGCTCAGACAGGGAGAGAGGAGGATCAGAGTGAAGAGTGAAGAGGGTGAGAGGAGAAAAAGGTGAACTGGTGGCTCTATGGAAGAAACGTATAAAGATATTTAAACACAACATATTGATATAAACAATATTGTCTTTCCCTATATCTTCTTTGAAAACAAATAGATATATCGTGGAAACTCAATATATTTCCCAGCCCTATGCCACACTTATAGTAAAACAAAAAATAAACTAAAGAGAAGGGTTGTCACGATACCAGAATTAAAAAGTTCGATATGATTCTGGTAAAAATCAAATTTTACCAATCCCTGTTTTGGTACCACGGAAACAAAAATAGAAGTCCTAGGCAAACACTATATATCTGTTTTTGTTCTTTTGTAAACTCCTGCACACCATATAAACTTCACTCAACACAATGTTGCCAATTTTCTGTGCAAATGAGACTGTATGCAGGAGTTTGACTCTGATGTGCTTGTCTCATAAAATAGATATATTTTTTTTAGATTGGGTTCTTTTTGATACTGTGGTCCATTAAAATAACAGAGACTGTATACATGTAAAACACCTTTTATCAGAACATATTGAACATTTTGACTACCTTGCAAAAGAGCATGAAATACATCAAAGCATAAAGTGTTTGATAATGTAAAGTGGATGAGAATCAGAAGTATGATAATCTATAAGGTTGAACGGATCTTCTCAACATTTCAGCTTTATTTAAAACCAAAACTTATATAAATACTGTACATACATTTCTGACATTCAAATATATATCAGTAATTGGGTCAATCGTCTTTCAACTGGAAGGTCGAGGGCTTGATCCCCAGCTCCTGTAGTCACATGTCTGATGTGTCCCTTGGCAAGACACTTAACCCCAAGTTTCTCCTGCTGCTTTGTCGGTAACATATGAGTGTGTATGAAGGGATTAGTTTTTTGTGATGGTCACTACACAGCAGGCTCTGTCATCAGTGTGTGAATGTGTAGGTGTGACCTGTGGTGTGAAAGAGAATTGAGTAGTCAGAAGACTAGAAAAGATCTATATCAGCTCAAGTCCATTTACCAAATATATATATTTCTATATGAACTATCAGTCAAAGGTTTGGACACAGAACAGTAACTGTATTATTTTATTTAATAAATATACTGTAAGCTGTATCTAGGGCACACCTACTAATAGAAGGTTTTTCTTTATTTTTAATATTTTCCACATTTTAGAATAATTGTAGATATTAAAACAATGAAAAATAAAACATTTCATTTTTGTTTTGGAAAGAAATGCAGACATACGTAGGCATCAACTTCACTATCACTACTAAGAAACACATCAAACATTTCAAACATTTAAGCATTTCAAAGTGTCCAAACATGTGACTGGTACTGTCATACATATATATATATATATATATATATATATATATATATACACTGTAGTTCAGCGTTTTCCTTTCCTTTGTCCTGATCAGTGTGATTCTGTGTGAAATTTTAAATGTCTTTTTTTTCTCGTTCCATGAAGAGATTTCAGGCAGCCCTCGTCAGTCACGTGTCCGTGGAGGTTTGTGTCGAGTTGTCTAAGTTCAAACTGACGGTGGTACGAATCAAGATGCTGCCAGTCTCTAACAACATAAGAGGACCTGAACAGACTCGATTTCAGACAGCAGAGGGCGCTGCCGAGTTTAAAGAGTCAGAACGTGCAGACTTGGCGTATGTGCTTCACACATCTGGAACCACTGGAGTCCCAAAGACTGTGAGGGTGCCACACAGATGCATCCTCCCTAACATACTTCACCTGAGGTGAGAGGTGTCTCTGAGACGAGCTGATTGTGACACACTTTTAATATTTTTACATAAAAAGAGTCTTAACACAGGACATGAAGGTGGAGAGGAAGCACCACACCCCCACAAACACAAAGTGTAATAATAACAAAGAGTTCAAATAGTGCAGTAATGTGAAGTAATAGTGTGTAAAACTCTCAGGATAACAACATGTGTTTAGTAATAGTGCCACATAAGAAGAAACAGTTCATATTTCCAGTTAAAAGTCATATTAATATAATTAATTATTAATCAGTATGGTTTTAAAGTCGTAAGAGAATAAAAGTCAGATATTAATATATCATTTTGAGCATCATGTGACATGATACATTAGTTAAGGTTTCATGAATAACAGAATACTTCCTCTTTTTAGTGAATAATCATAGACGAAAATTACAGCCTTTTACAATTTCATCTTTATTTTTTGAATATTAGGATTTTATTCTCCTAATATCAAAACTTTAGTCTCAAAATGGTCCAAAACAATTCTCCAAGACTTTGTTCTTGTTATTCTACGATTTTATTCTCATAATATTTAGACTTTATTTAGACTATTCTCATTTTAATTTCGAATTTATTCTCACTATGTCACGACCTCATTCTCCTTAAAGTTAATCCTCATAATATTTCATCTTTATTCTCCTAAAACTTTATTCTTGAAATATTACGACTTTATTCTGAAATGTTAATTTCTTTCTTATAATTGGCCGTAGTGCTCTGTTGTACTGTGTAGATTTATTTTTGTAGTGACAGATTTCAGTTTAGATCATTTTTCTGCTCATTTCTCTTTTATTTGTTTTAAGAAAGCTGACGTTAGGGGCAAGGCAGAAATCCCAGTGTACCTGAACTGTCCTGTATCCATGCAATAAAACATCTATTAAATTAGAAAACGTTATAAATCTATTCTAAAGTGCAGCTCTGTGGGCTCAGATCTTTGTTTCAGATGAGTTCAGATGACGTGGTCCTCCTCGCCTCCCCCTTAACCTTTGACCCCTCTGTGGTGGACATGTTCCTAGCCTTGTCGTCAGGGGCTCAGCTCCTCATCGTCCCCGCTGTGATGAAGAAGATGCCTCGTCGTCTGGCCCAGCTGCTGTTCATGCGTCACAAGACGACGGTCTTGCAGGTCGGTGAAGCTGAACCCTGCTCAGAGAACTTCTCATCTATTAATCCTTTTTGAAACATGCAGAGCTGAAACATTAGAGAATATTTCAGAACAGGCTTCCCCCCTAGAGAAGTAATGATTATGAAAATCAGAGCCAAAACCAACACCCATGTTCAAAATCAGTCCATCAAAATGTTTGACACCATATTTTTAAAAACAGTTCAGTCTCTGTTATTTTAATGATTAATCATAAAGTACCAAAGCTTTAAAAAACAAACTTAATCTCTTTCTTTAGACGGGTGCATAAGAGAGAAATTAATCAATCAAAAGCTGCAAGCCAACTCCTGCACACTCTCAATTGCACCAATACAAAACATTGACAACATATTTGTGCAGTGGATTTGGTGGATTTTGTGCATTATGAAAATTGGCAATATGCTGTATGTTGATTTTCTTGGCTCTGTGCTTCTGTGTTTAGATAGATAGATAGATAGATACTTTATTGATCCCGAGGGAAATTCAAAGCATCCAGTAGCAGGTTACAAGACGTACATGACATGAAACATTTGTTACAAATTAACCACAAAACCGACGCCCCTCCCTCCCATACATATATATTAACCTGAAATTAAGATTTAAAGAATACCCCTAGATGAATCAAACTTAAACTGTGCAATTAAAAATAGATTTATACAAGAAATGTACATAACCCGTGCAGGGATAAAAAATATATGTGAAATTTAAACAAGAACCTAAAAACAGTTGAGGACAGAAATCTGTAATTAGACCTGAATATAAAAAATAAAAAAGTGTTGACCTTCTGAAGTTGTGTTGTTTATATATGTACAGCAATGTTTAAAAAGAAGATGCAAAAAGATGAAGATTGTGATTTGTTTTTATTTATTAATGCTATAGTGGAGACAGCTAAATGTGTGCAGCACTCAGAGTCCAAGACAAACTTACCCAAGGGGACGATAAATTGTATGGTATTGAATCATATTGTTTGGTATATCAG